AGAAAGAAGGGAAAAAAAGAATCCTCTTATATAACGTCGCAAGGCGCCGCGCGAGATCCGCGAAGGACGACGTGAGAAGCGTCCGCGCGTTCGACGTCTCCATTTCGCGGAGATTCTCCTCTGATATTTCGTTCCTCGGCAATTTGTCGGAGATAAAAGTTGAAGAGCCAAACGAGAAAGAGAGAGAGAGAGAGAGGAGAATAATACGTAGGTGGGAAGAGAGGGTGGAGAACGAGAGGAAAGTGTTTAAACGCGATCACTGGGACACGACGGCGCGTTGTGCTTGCTCGCAATATATTTTTCCTCCTCTCCTCTCCACCACCGTCTGTTTCTCTCGCTTCCCCCCCCCACCCCACCCCCTCCCCGCGCACTTTCCCTCTATCACTCACAAAGTACGAAGAGAGAGCGAGAGTTGCGGGTGGTGATGTGCGTGCGCGTTGTACGGTGTGCAATAAATTCTACTCGTAAATTAAATACAGTGGCGTAGGTCATGGACCGAGAGAACGATACGCACGCCACGTGCTTTCCCCACGCGCGCCTTCGCTGTATACATTCTGTCTCGCTCCGTTTCACGCCCCCCCCCCCACCCTCCTTCCGCCGCCCCGTCGACGATTACTGAATGTGTTACGTATTTACTCTTTGGTATTATTATTATTATTACTTCTCCGTTGTGGAGTGCGAGATATCGGACACATGCATGCGCCGATTACCCACCGTCGATGCGAAACAATCTCCTCTTCCTTAGCGCAACAGTTTTGCACAATGTCGTCGAATATATATATATGTACGATAATATACGTACATAACGGAGTCTCGGCAACATTTGCAACTATTTCCGATGTATTTCGCAAATTTCTGTACATATATATGTACCTCAGCAGCGCGATATATATATATGCTTTTAGTTGTTATCTTCCGAGTTTGTATTTACATTTTTTTTTGTTCCGCTTTTGCTTTCATTAATCATTTAATTAATTTAATAATCGTTGAAGATGTATAAGCGCGAGAGATTTTTTCAATATATTTTCGTTAGTTTTTTCTAACGATATTGCCAATTGTTGGTAAGTACGTGAGAGGTCTAGTGTTTCCGCCGCGAATTATAGTTTCGAAGAGGGCGCCAGTTTACGGGATCGATGTTTTATCGACAGATGTATTATACAGAATGAAAAATTATTTACAAGAATTTAAGTATTCATAACAAACCTGGACTACTACACTGAAAAAAATATTTGCGTAAATATACGTGATTGTGCTAGATATTTTTCCGACCCAGCATATATAATCACATGCAATATTGCTATACTTATAGATTACAGATTATATGCATAATTTCGTATGTAATAAATTCTTATATATTTTCAAGATTAAAAATATTCCACTAAACATGGAATTAAACAAAGGAAATGATAGTAATGCTTATATAAAAATAAAGTTCTAATAAAGTAAAAATAGTAGTTATACCTGTATTTTTACATTAATAGATATGTATTTTCACTTTAAACAAAACAAATGGAAAAAATTACAGTGATTATTTTTCCACTGTATATACATATGTAGGTATATAAAAAAATCAAGAAAACTAAATAATTACCTACAGTTGTTTTATCGATCTTTTGTATAGGGTCAACCTAGCTCAAACGATAAGAAAACTAATTATTTAACTTTCTTGGTTTTTTATACACACATATATAATAACTCAGATTTGTTATTACACAAATAACTGATTTGTTGTGTAAGCAAGATGGTTGTTGCATTAAAAGGAATTCTGGTAGATTCGACCAGTAATTCTGTTTCGTCCATTTTCAAACAGAACTTTTGTTAATGCAACAAACTTTTTTCCAGTGCACGAAATTCTTTAATTCTTGTAAAGAATTTTTCATTCTGTATAGCCAATAAAAAGTAAGCATTATGATAATTGAAGATTCATAATTGGAATTTCGATGAATTAGAATATTAGGGCGAAAAAAGCTAAATTTACATGACTCGATTATCTTCAATTTCAATGTTAGTAATTTCCAGCGTCGCCTAATTAGAAAGTATCAATCTATAGATATTACGTGTCTATTTTCCCGCGCATTCAACAGAGAAAACTATTAACATATATTTACAAAGATATCTTTGTCTTTTTAATTTTGACGCGGCGCTTGATCGATTTACGCACAAGTATATTTATTATAATTTCGACTAATTAGTGCGGTTATCTGTTGATACTTTTTATTTTATGATATTACTTTTCTATTTAATTAAATTTTAATTTAAATTGATGTATTTATTTTTTTTTAATCCTGCGACAATTTGAAAAATATGCTCTCGACAAATATACATTTTTTCCATGTCAAAGATTAATTAGAAATTAAATTGTTTGCGTAATTTCAAATTAGATGCAAAAATTTTGAGAAAAAAACATTGTATAGGAAATAAGGGTAATACTGAAAAAGAGCTTCGTCCTCTCCAATTTTGCCGAAATCTTATAATAATGTGTTTCTGTGCGTAAAATATAAATCAGATTTTAACTTAATAAATTCGCAATATATTAATAAATCAAATAGTTTGACTCACATTTCGACTATTCTTCTTCGATCTCGGCGAATTCCTCGCCGGCATCATTTTTTCTGAAGAAAATCTGCGTCGGGAGCTGTCCTCGTAGATGCTTCCGAAGCACTCGCGGTACTTTTTTCGTTCGCGACGTGCGGCGACGTCCGGGTTTTAGCTGTCACATTTGCGACGCGTTTCGGCAAAACGCGAGAATCGCGGGAGCATATTCGCGCGCGAATAAAACCGATGCTCCGTGTTTTCGCGTCGCCGCTTTTTTCAAGGCCTCCTTACCGGAGAGCCTCGTCGAACGACGAAGGCGACCTCCTCCGCGGCGCACTCAGGAGTCGCGGATATTCCAGAATTGACATCCACACTTTGCTATATTTTATATTCCACTGATTATTCCAAAATTGCGATGGCCATTACACTTCTCTGTATTTCACATTTCACTGAATATTCGACGACGAAGAAATCGCGCGCCGATTTATTTATTGTCGATCGCGTATTTCGGAGACGTCACGACAAGTATTACCACTTGTTCGAAAGAAAATTGTCGGGCGAATTTCGAAGAAAAACGCGATCGCGATTCCAAACTGTCAACGCGCGGATGCGCGTATTATAGATGGTTCCGAGAAATGGATGAGCGTCGTCGAAACTCGCGGATAAATAAACATCTTATGGCCGCCGCGATTCCCAGAATCGGCCGAGCAGCGGCGCTCGACGCGATTCCGAGAATCAGGCGTCTAGACAAAACAAGGATACCGTTTTAGGAACACTCGCGATCGTCGCGTATATATTTCGATGACAGGCTTGTTTTTTTTTTTTTTTTTTAATTTATCCTGCACTGACTAACTAGCACACTGGTATACGATAAGTTCGAGCGAGACAAAAATATACTCGTCTCACACTGGTAGAATAAGTTAGAGTGAGACGAGTATATTTTTTGTCTCGCTCTAACTTATTGCATATCAGTGTGCACAGTTAAGCTAGTGCAGGGATAGAAAGCAAGCCCATGTATGATTAATCTGATATACACTTCCTACTCTTTGTTAAATATTCCCGAATGGACCCCGACTTTTTGCGAGAAAATTGTAGAGAGCAACGATTCGAGTACGATATTGATCAATGTAACAAGATCAATATGGCGGCGCGATCGAGTCGGTCGTCGAGCTGTGCCGTGATTTTATGAAGATTATGACGAGCTATGTTCGTCGCGGAACGATACTTTGACACGATGACGCGAAACTACGACCGGAAACGCGCGATTGGCCGCTTAGAATAGGATCGACAATGCCGAAAAACTTGGAAAATTTCGCGTCGAAAGACGCCCGGTGATGCTCGCGATCCACTGTAGAAAACTCGCGCGCGCGAACTGACTTCGCGACGACCCGCGAGGAACGAAGTGAAGTTGAGCGAGATTGCCGGCCGCGATTCACAAGAAGATTCCCGATCGACGGGATCAGTCTCGCTCGTATAATCGCGATCCCGGTGTTGGCGCACGCTACGCGATCGGATTTGTACGATAATTAACGATGTAAAGATACTAATTAAATACTCACGCTCGTACTTTCGCGGACCGGCACGAATAACCGCTCAAATGTTGACGACCATACTCGAAAGTCCATCAGAGGGCAGTATTCTGCATTGTGTTCGGAAATATGTCTCCCTAGGGTGAAGCGCTCGATTGACCAATCAGGACGAAGAGATCCTCGTCTCCGATTGGTCGGTCCAATTCTGGACTTTGACAGACGGATTTTCGAACACAACCATGAAGCTGCTTTCGACGTAATATGGTACCCTTTTTGAATCGCTCGAGTAATTCAGCCGTGTAAACACATTACTTTATTTATTAATTAACGTTGCATGTGTGTGCGAGTATAATGTTTGTATGTATTTATTTTAATTGACATATTGTATTTAAAACGCAAATATTATTTCTATTTTCATTATGTCAATTATTTGTAGGTAATTGTTAATTTCTTTTTTGTTCGAATAGCTTTTTCATGATACACATTTGATACAAATTTATTCTTCCGAGTTATAGTTTCTATACCTTTTCAAGTATAATTTCCCTTTACCCCTTTTCTTTTATATTTTAACTTCAAATATAAAAAATATATAATATCAAAATACTAAAGAGAGCTTCGTCCTTTGTTGCTTTCCAAAAGTATTACCAAAAAATTATTAATTATTGTAATAAAAATAATTGTTTATCAGAAAACGGTTCTAAAGCTCAGAAGTATAACATTCTCGTATAATGAATACGAAGATTACATCATATATACTTCTATTAATTTAATATCTCGTTATTGGCCTGAAAATATATCTTCTAAATATATGCATGCAGAATTAAGAAATAATTGCATTCTTTTTTCAGCCGGAACATATATGCTCGCCCACATGGGTATTGCATTACCAAAAAGGCAATTGTTTCGAATGTGCGACACTCTTGGTAAGTTTACTATTGGGACAGAGTTATAATGCGTTCGTGGTGAGCGGATATGCATCACGCGAGCAAGTTCTCTGCGACATGACCAGAAGAAGCTGCCCATATTTGCCGGAGCAGGAACACACGACGCCACCACCAGTTCAGGAAACACCTAAAAACGTTAAATATAAGTTAAAAGCACCGTCGGATTTTAGAAGCCAATTTCTTTTAGAACTAGAAGATCGCGAAAAGAAAAGGATAGATGAAGAATTACAACAACAGGAAGAAGAACGACAGAAAATGATAACTGTATGCATGCGTATTTAATTTATTCAGTTTATGCGATAGCATAAACTATTCTTAATTAATTTAATTATTAAACGAGTTGCTTAATAAATATGCTGTCTTATTATAGACATATGTAATACATAATTAAAATTTAATTTAATTTATATATACATATTCAATAAAATCCGAGAAAAAGAAATTAAAATTGTAATACATACTATGTATAAAGATATATGTTTCCTTTTTTCAATTACACATTATATCAAATAAGGCGACATATTTAACTCGCTTAATAATTTTATATATGTATATATGATAATTATTATATATTGTGTATATTGATACACATTTTTAGTTATATGAATGTACCATTTCAGGAATTCGAGCGTCCACCGCCGGATGAATATTTTGGCCACAGAATACATGCGTGGGTGGTTCTTCTGCCGGATGATAAAGGTGCGAGAAGTAGCGAAATCACCAAACCCATTTTTCTCGAGTCTTCCTCTGGGATGTCCTACAATCCGGCCGATGAAGAAACTAACTCGTTGTATCTGGGAGTCGAAAGCATCTGGAACGATCAAAATTATTGGGTGAATATGCAATCGCGGGAAAAGAGCTGCGCGGAAATCAATTGGGACTTGAGCAAAGTCGAATTCTGGGAGCACTTACTTCCTGGTGAACCTCGTGTTGCGCGAAAAGATGCGGATGAGAACGAGGAAGATGTTGGCGTGGAGCGAGATAAGCATTTGGACATGCCGGCTTCGTACGTGAATGAAATCCAAATCCACAGCTTAGGTAACAAATGCCTCTTTCAACTGGATTCAACCTATATATACATCACACATTATAATTATAAGAATATTGATTATATATATATATAACGAGTTAGTTAAAATAAATGTAAATTTACTTAAATGTACATTTACATTTATTTTAACTTCTTGGAAATACGTTGTTAAAGTATAGCACAATGAAACATTCTAATCACATTAATAATTAATTAATAACATTAGAAAAATAATTATTATTAATTACTCATCAAGTTTTATTCGTAAAATTTATAATTTTGAAAAATGTCAATGAAATGTAATGCTAATTGTTCTGAATAATTTGTTAAAAATATTTTATGTATATTTATACATTGCTTTCTTAGATTTCGAGAGACGATATCCACAAGGCAGTAAGACGATGTTTTACAAGAAGACCAAGGTAGAATTATATGCGCCTTATTTCCAAATGGATGGTTTGATACAACGAGTAACCATTTACAAAGATTATAAATATACCATTCCCGTTCAAAGTTACGAAAAGTATTTGAACAGGAGCGACTGTCTTACGAAATCCACAAAGGATTTTAATACGGATATTATCACGGATTTCTTTGAGAAGGGTCGATCGGATCATTGTAAAGGTGAAACAATTTGGAGTAAAATTTAAATATTACTGTATGCGAATATTATTTATTTTTATATTAACTCTAAAAATATTAACAGAGAATCACTATCTCGCATCTGATACTGCCTCGATAGACAACGAGAGAACGATAGACTTTTACGATAGCGCGCAGGTTGATGGATTATCGCGCATAGAAATGGGTCCATTTCATTTGACTCAATATTACACGAATCGTGAAGATTTTCTTTATTATAGGTATAAATTCCGTTCACTTTCTGCAGCTATTACATATTTTAATTTCTATTAGTTTTCTTGAAATAAATATTAGAAATAAAAAGAAATCAAGTCTTTTGAACTTGTGAATTTTTTATATGTATTGCAAATTTTTACACATAAAAATGTAAAAATATAAGTATGTAATAATTTTGATTATTTCAACAGGCACGTTGAATATTCAAAGGTAAACAAAGATATTCCAGCGGATGGTACATACGTACAATTTCGACTTGTTTCAGTAATATTGATTTTTCATAAAATTTTAAATTTATTTGTTTAATGAGTAAAAATAATCGACTCTTCTCACCTTGCAGAAAATCATTGAGAAATACCATAGGAATGAAGAAATTCCGGCTTGCAAGGACGTAGCCATCCGTGAATTCGTGATGACGGAGAATGAAATTCGCATTAAATTTCATTATGATAAAAATCAGAGTACCAGAGCTAGTCGTACGTTCATAAAACCATCATTAGCTGATAGAGGAGATCGTTTGGTGTTTGATCCTACAATGACATACGGATACAATGTAATTTTTCTGTATAACAATTATATTGATGAAAAGACATGACAACCCAAGAAGAACAGAAAGATCAAAATAATATAAATTTGATATTAAAAACGTAATTTATGTCCAAATTTGGTCAATATGTCAAATTGACATTATTTTGACTTTCTATTCTTTTTGGGAATTTATAATTTACATAAAAGATATAATTTAATGTATCTTACAGCCTGATTCGACTGCACTTCCGGAAAAAGTCTCGATCTCTTTTATGATCTCGATAAGCACTTGAAAGCCGAAGATCATTCCATACTCTGTATCAGGGACGCCGAAACCGAAATCATGGGATTCCTAAAAAGAAGGATCGATGAAAATTCAAATCCGCAGCTCGCCATTTCGTTATTCGACAGAAATCGAATAGTCGAGATAGGAGAATTGGAAGCGGTATATTCATCAATTGTTTAATTACTTTTTTAAATTAATTAAAAGAAGTTTTACCACGAGGATGCTTCTCTTCAGGATGTGGTAAAGGGTCCAAATAAGCACGAGGATGTCACGCGAGAGATCGATCCATTAGGACCTTACTTAGCACGATTAGGCAATCCGGAGAACGTCAGCAAGGCAGAAGCTTATCTGTTGCGCGACGAATGTTTAAATGACTTTAAGCAGTTGTCTATCAATAAAGCGAATTATATTCTACGCATCATCGAAAAGCACTCTGCGGAACTGGAAAAGATGCAAACTTTGTTGACACAGGTGCAAAATTCTTACAGCATCTATTTTCATTCTTGATTCTCGTATTGCATAATTATCCTGATTAATATTTATACGTGTGCAGTCTGTTGATTTAACGAAAACGGAGGAGGATCAAATACTAGCCAAGATAAACGAGATAAGTTTCAACGTACACGTGTTGGAAACATATCTCAATTGGCATAGAGATCAAGTGCCGCAGAGATATAAGATATTGGTGGATCATTTGCGGCAAAATCCTCGTCTGCAAGTACTTCAGAAATAGTAAAAAAAAAAATATTGAGAAATTATACAGAAAGAATATGTAAGTATAAAAATATTAACTTGGATAAAAATCTCGTTTGTCTCATGTTGCAAAAATCATATTCATTTTATATCATCGAGGAAGATACATTGGCAAAGTGTATAATATATTTATTGAAAGGACCACGAGCCCATTTGACCAATGCACCGACCTGAAATGATTTTGAAAAATAAAAACGTCTATACGAGACAACTTTCTCTAATTCTGATTTTGTGTTATTACCTTCGTCATCAAAAGTGGCCAATGTGAATTTACTAAGTTTGTTTGTGAAGCTTCCACTGGGGGAAACTAGCGGATGATCCAGTTGATCGTTGTTACCATCGCTGTTGACAAATTGACGTCGATAGTCCTCGGCGAAGCCGGAAATGAGTGTATCCATCATTGGTGCCTGAAACATCAATCTTCATTTAATTTTATTTTGTAAAAATAATATTAAATATTTTCGAATGTATGATTTGTACCTGTTTGGAAAATACTTGTAGAATCTTGTAGACTCGTGCTCCGTTCTCTCGCACCGGAAATTGTAGAAACAAGCAAGGCAAGCAATCTGGATTATTCTCGTCCGAGGGTTTCGCCATTTCCCAGCTCAGTTCCGAGTACTTTAGCCCTAATAGCAAGCTCTGCATAAATACATTTCATGTTATTCTGTATCGCGTATATTTTATAAACATTCAATTTGATATATCGTACTTACACACTGCATGTCATCGACTATGTACACGCCCGACGTATTAATCGCAACGAGGACCTGCATATCGCGATTGGTGATCCACGACGCGAGACCTCTGACAGGTCGCTCGATCTGTCCTTGGAAGAAGGCCGCGCCGTAACACGGTAGGTTCCAACAAAACTCGAGATATTTCCTGATCAACTTTTTAGGATTCGCGTTAGCGCTACTACCGTTGTGATTCGGTATTCGCTTGTACTGTTCCAGAAGATGAGCCTCGGGTGCTCCCTTGCCACCCACCAGTCCCAATCCGAGTCCCAATCCTAACAGGAGACTAGGAGAAGCGTGGTGATGCGGTAGAAATCGACCACGGTGTCTGCGGAAAAACGCCAAGGTGTGGGTTTGTGCGTTATAGGGTCCAAGTTCGATCCGAGCTTGTAAGGCTCCTAAAGTGGCGTAACGCACGGGTCCATCACAGGCGTATCGTCCTAGATAGAAATTGAAATTCATGTCTTATAGGAACTATAAATTAATTTTTTTTACAATAAATTTTCTACGCATCTTTTATTTAATGTCACTCACCTTGTAGAACATTGTACCTGGCTTCTGCGTAAAGTAATTCAAGTACTTTAGTATCCTTGATTTGTTCCTCCTCCGCCCTCGAAAGAAATATATTTCTACGAAAGTATAGCAAAGGTTCCTCATCATCTTCTACATGAGGACTGTACTTGTTCACAAGATAATTCCATTTTGCAGCCAATTCTACAGGCTTGTGTGTCGGACGTAATTGAACTTCCATTTGCGAAGAACACATCCATAGTGCAAAACTGGTGTAGTGGTTACCAAAGAAAATCTCAATAGACCCAATTCTGCCTCTGATTGAACTATTGTAAATATCTGCTGTGCTGTCGCATTTTGTTCAATTTCCATTGTCATAAATACTCCCGTCATTAGATAAACAGCTATGCGTATCGTAGGTCTTCCTGTATTCGAGTACTGTGGCTGATTTGTCATTGCTTTATTCACTGCAAATGAAGTGAAAAAGATGTAAATATATTAAAAAATATCTCTTCTTTCATTTAGATTTAAAAAAGTGTAAACACCTACAAGTGGATGAACTTCCATCTAGCTTGTAGTCATTTGTATAACGACGCAGTGGTTGTCCTCTTTGAATTGAGCAATCATTTTGTTGCTCCATTTCCTTCAAAATTTTTCTGCTTTTTTCTTTTTAATTGTGTGTTACCAATTAATTATAAAAGCTATTAAAATACATCAAAAATTGTACACAAACATTGCGCTCTAACAATCTGCCCATTGACTCAGTATACTCCAGTATTCATATTAATATTTTTGACTTAAATTTTGCAATTAATATATATATATATATATGTTTACTATTTAGAATCACATAATGTTTATAACACGTTTATATTATTATTACGAAAATAAATAATTGTTTTTGTCACTAACTTATTATTACATCCTAAATACATTTCTCTCACATTATTAACGTGATGAGCCGTGTTTACTAATATTGTTGAGGTCACACACATTATCGAAATTTTTATTTTGCCTATTTTTGTTTTATTTCAGCTTCAACGCGTGTTACTAAGTCCTGCCGCGCTGCCATCTGAACTGTGAGGCTGCAGCAATTTTATTGATTATTTGTATGTAGCTATAAACCTATGCATTTTTGTATCCCAATATAGGTATATATCGTTCATTTTCATATTAAAATTAATATTTATAGAAAATAAAATTGTTAGTTAAATACTTATTAAATAAAAATAAATTATTAATAAGAACCACTAATTAATCATTTTTACAATTCTGTATTTAAATTCATATAATTTTATTATTGAAAGCTGTGAAATGAATAAATTTCCACTTGACATTTAGATTCGAAAATATATTGTGTTATAAATGAGTAAATTCTCTTAATCAAAAAAATATAAGATAACTGATCAGAATTAAATTCAAGACCAACATGTCTTATCCACATATAAAATACTCAAACCTACTAATCATCATGTAATCTCTATTCACTGAGCAACTTAGCTATCATGTGTGAATAATATTATATTAATATTATTTTTATAAAAGAGGGAGAGAACAATAAAGTATTAATATTACCAACTAAAATGATCTTAAAACCGTATGATATTCGTTAGAGTTCTCAACTAAAGTTTTTTGTTGCCATGTTATATTTTCAGATAGAATTAGAATTTTATTTTCTGAATAAGTAATCTATACGTGAAAAGTGTATAGCTAAATGATATTCATAAAGTTAAAGAAATTGTTGTTTTATTGTGTGAAGAAGTTAAACATATTATATAAGCTTAGCTCTTTTATATCAGGTCGGCAACGTTCATCGGCATTTCGTCTATTTGTGTAGAGTAATACTGCTCGATATCTCGAAGAATCCTGATATCGTCAGTTTTTACAAAGTTTATCGAAACACCCTTACGACCGAAACGTCCTGATCGTCCTATTCTATGAATGTATAATTCACGATTGTTAGGTAAATCGTAATTAATTACGAGTGACACTTGCTGAACGTCGATACCTCTCGCCCAGACATCCGTCGTAATTAACACGCGACTATAAAAACACAAATATTAGTATAATATATATAATTCCCTTTTATAAATATTATTTTAAAATAGTATACTTTTAAAGATTACAATCTTACCTCTGACCAGATCGAAATTCTTTCATTATGTTATCTCGTTCCTTTTGGGGCATATCTCCGTGCATAGAACACACTGTAAAGTTAGCTTCTCGCATCTTTTCCGTCAACCAATCTACTTTACGCTTAGTGTTACAAAAGATAACTGCTTGTGTTATCGTTAATGTGTCATACAAGTCACAAAGTGTGTCAAATTTCCACTCTTCGCGTTCTACAGCGACAAAGAATTGTTTAATTCCTTCCAATGTCAATTCATCACTAGAAATGCAAATAATTAAAATAAAGTATATTTATATCTAGCAAAGCCAAATAAAGATAAAAAAGTATTTACCGTTTGACAAGAATACGAATAGGATCAGTCATAAATTTACTGGTCATTTCAAGAATTTCGTGTGGCAAAGTGGCTGAAACTAAAACCACTTGTGTCGCCGGTGGTAGATATCGATATACGTCATAAATTTGTTCTTTGAAACCTTTGTTCAACATCTCGTCGGATTCATCCAGCACTAACATTTTGATAGCTCTAGTTCTCAATACCCGCCTTTTGATCATATCTGTTACAAATTTACAAATTTTTATATTATTATAAATCTGCCAAAGCATATCGTATGTATTTGATAAAAATAAAACATAATACTTACCAAATACTCTACCAGGTGTGCCAGATACAACATGTTGACCATAATCCAGTTTTCTGATATCTTCTCCAAGATTTGTACCACCGATACAAGCGTGACATTGCACATTCATAAAGTCTCCTAACGCAAGGATGACTTTTTGAATTTGAGTCGCAAGTTCTCGAGTAGGAGACAAGACCAGAACTTGAGTTTCTCGTACTTGTGTGTCCAATGATTGCAATATTGCAACCGAGAAAGTAGCGGTTTTTCCTGTACCAGATTGTGCTTGCGCTATCACATCTCTGCCCTTCATAATAGGTTTAATGGATCGTTGTTGAATAGCAGATGGCTTCTCAAACCCTATATAAAAAATAGAAACGCTGTTACTTCTCATGTATATGAAACTTTGTCAAACTATACTTTTCTGTGTAATCATCATAAATTTATCAATTTATAATTATAAATATTTATCAGTATTCATCATTATAGATATATTAATATTATAAAATTAGAATAAGAGACAATCATGTAATGAGGAAAATCTGTTATTTCTATATACATTAGAATTATTAATTAATTATATAGAAAATAGTCAAAGTTAACGTAAAATGTGGAATACGTTAATCGTGCATATATAAAAGCGATATATACTTAATTTTGCAATCTTATTAAAACTGGAGTTAAAAAATAAGATGCAAGAAGTTTGAGGTTAGAAACCGGTACAAAGTAAACAGTGCATACCGTATGCGTAGATGCCGCGTAATAATTCGTCGCGAAGACCCATGTTATCGAACGTAGGAATAACCTCGACATCTTCGCTGGTTTCAAACTCGACGTTCGATAAATCCTCCGTTTGGGCCACACGACGTGACGATTTCTCCGCCATTTTTCTCGAAGCGTATTTTACGTCTCCGTTCGACGATGGAGTGCAGTTCCACAAAAGGTTCGTCCAAAGTTCTGTCTTTCGTTTCCTTTCAACGAATCTCCTGAGCTTTGAAACAACTTTCGAGTGCTTTGCGAAAAGTGACAACAAGTCGTAAGCGTCGAAATCACGGAATTTCCATGTGTCTATTCGACGTCGTTCGCGTGTATTTTACACGCCAATCACGAACAGCTGTTCAATCATGTCCCTAGGAACTTTTTGGAAGAAGTAAGAATTCCCTAGCGGACAGCCAATCGAAAACGTCCGAGAGAACGTCATCGGACAAATGGAAACTCGCCCGAGTTGGTCACGTGACTCTGACGACGAAAGAGAAATGTGGTGTGTTTGAACCATGAAGAAGGGGCAAGAGCGCGGTAGGAGTTTCTACCGTGATTTTATTGTTGTGTAAACTTTTTCATTTTTTTGGAAATATATTAAATAGCATATATTTAAGTAGTCGATATTACGTGCGAACTGAAAATTTCCCTTTTCTGTCCATCTTCCTCGTCGATTTTATACCAAGTAAGTGTACAAAACCTTCAATTGATTACACTTTGTTGAGATTGTTGGTTATATTTACCAAGCATCATATTTTATCTTGAGTAAAAGACAATGTGTTCTTTTACTGAATTTGTTAAACATTACACACGATGGTCTATTATTTATTTCTATTAAATGTAATCTCAAAATTATGTAAAATATAGTCCCGATGTTCAAAGAATTTTTTTGTAAAGCGTGATTAAGTCTGATAAAAAAATGGCCTAAATAAATAGAAATTCTTGAAAGTATTTATAATATTGACTTTTTATGTAACAAGATTTTTTATTTTTATTCGTTATAGTTAAACCATAATTTAAGAAAAAATATTGCAAAGAGAATTCAGTATTTAACTGTAAATACTTATTAGATTCAAATGCTTTTAATAGAATGGAATCCAGGACTGAGTTTAAAATAAAATTACCACCGACCGATGCGATTTCCGCGGTGGAATTTGGACCAAATTCTACACAGTTCCTATTAGTATCATCATGGGACAGTACAGTACGATTGTACGATATCCATACAAATGCATTGAGATTGAAGTATAGTCATGATTTACCAGTGTTGGATGTTGCATTTCAGGTAAATGAAAATTATTTCTCTACAAAGTTCCTTTATCTGTTTATCAAATTTCTTTTATCACAAAATTGTTTGCAGGATGCCGTCCATGCATATAGCGGTGGATTAGGAAATACTTTAAAGATGTACGACATAAATAGTAATACAGGTATTATACTTTTTATGACACATATATGTTAGAATCTCACAGTGATAATTTTATATAAAACTGATTAGGCAACAGTTTTAGTATTTAATATTAATTTTAGTATTAAGTTTTATCATTTTTAAAATTACAGTAAAAATAATTTATTTCTAGAACAAATAATGGGTACACATGAGAAGCCAATCAGAAAAATAGAATATTGCGCGACCGTAAACGCGATATTAACTGGCGGTTGGGATGCTGCGGTGAAATTGTGGGATCCACGCACACCCACTTGCGTCGGTAGTTATTTGCAACCGGAAGTAGTTCTCGCTTTATCTGTATGCGGTGACAAATTTGTCGTGGGAACAGCAAAACGGAAAGTTTGTATTTGGGATTTGAGAAATATGGCGGGCATGTTTCAGAGACGAGAAAGTAGTCTAAAGTATCAAACACGCTGCATCAAAGGTTTTCCTAACGAACAGGTGTGTTTCTCTTTTATACACACACACACACACACGCAATATATTTTATTTAATTTTTACACAAAACTGCTTATATTGGGCTTACCTTCGTATTTTTTCATATTCAATATTCTTTTAGGGATATGTATTAAGTAGCATAGAAGGTCGTGTTGCCGTGGAATATCTTGATACAATGCCAGAAGCTCAGAAGAAGAAATATGCGTTCAAGTGCCATAGAATAAAAGAAAATAACGTCGAGCACATTTATCCTGTGAATGCCATTAGCTTTCACTCTGCATATAATACATTTGCCACTGGTGGTTCGGATGGTTATGTGAATATCTGGGACGGTTTTAACAAGAAACGCCTGTGTCAATTCCATCGTTATAATGCTGGCGTAGCCGCGCTTAGTTTCAGTCACGACGGTTCTGTGCTTGCGATAGGAGTTTCGTATTTAAACGAAGCTGAAATTCCTCCAGGCGGCAGTGACGAACGAGAAATTTATATAAGATATGTCAATGATCAGGAAACTAAACCAAAATAAAAAACAAGTGTGTGTAAAAGAGTATAATTATAGAAAGACTATTACTGGACAAGTTCAAATCTCCATGTTTATTTAAAGCAAAAAGAGATGAAAATGGAGAAAATGAAGCATTATGTAACAAATTGTAAATAAATATTTCACTATTTATACGCATTTCACATGCAACATTAATATGACACATTAAGACTAAAATCATAGGTTTAATGAAAAAAATTTTATAAAAATATTTTTATTTACAGTAACAAAATTAGATTTGTCTTTATAAATTTTTATGATAGATTGATAGTGTGTTTATGTGTGTATGTATATATATGCATGTGTGTGTATGTATACATAGTAGATACATATGTATAGCCATACATATAAATTAAAGAAATAATTATTTTTCAACTGAAATATATATATATTTTTTTTTCTGTTGAAAAGTAATTACCTCTTTATATATGTATAGATATAGAATTGCACATACACAAAAAAAAATATATACACACACCATACATATGACGAACGAAAAAATTATTTAAAATATGTTAATGATCAGGAAACTAAACTAAAATGGAGGACAGATATTGTGCAAAAAAACACGATTTTAAAAAGACCATTACTAAATAGACTCAACATGTAACTGACTAATAAATAATATACACATACGTTTATAGATATATTAAGTATTTGATACAATTTAAATTATACTCTCTACATGATAAGGAATAAAAACTTTTGTACGTTTAATAAGATTATAAAGATAAAATTATAAATGCAAACAGATTGAAAAGAATAATTGTATGTGTGTATATTGTATAAAATTTATATATTTACTAAATGGCTTTCATTAATCGAATACAATAATTGCAAATAAACTACAACATTTTAAGGAATTAATAACTGATTTTTCTTTACAATATATGTAATATAATTGACATATTTCCAAAAACTTTCATTCACAAATCGATTCCTAGAGAACAAAATATACATTTTATTAAAGAGATAGCAATTTATTAATAAATCTGTTTCAGCATAAAAAGATAGAGAAAATAACAACTTGCCACATCGGTCGTAAAAGTTTTTTTTCGACCCACAAAAATGCAGTTATTTTCTTCCTATCTTTTTTATTACATCGATTTCATTATTTAACTTTTAACATAAAATTGTAGCACTCTCTTCTCTTAGAAATATGTACAAGTCATTTAAAAGTACTCAATTGTATAAGATGCAAATAAAACAAGTATATTCAATCCAGTTCATTAATGTTGAATTGTAATAAATTATTGTTGTTCAACAATTATTTATAATATAACAATGAAAGCGTTACGTTAAACTTTTTTATAAGTTCTCAGTTTTATTGTCACTATAGCAATTGCAGTCGTTAATTAAAGAAACATTGATTATTCATTACTATGTTAAAATGAGCCAAAAGCAATTATACTGCAAGTAATATTATAATTTCAATGTTTCAATTTTAAACATATTTTTTTTTTATAAAAACTATATATATATATATACACACACAATATATCTCGATATTTTACATGATCTTAAGAATTATCATATTGAAGTTTCTTGGAAACTGAGTATTTTGATGTCCAAAGTAAAAAGAGTGCTATATTCAATTACATGATAATTTAGAATGCAAAATATATCAACTTGTATTCATTTTTCTCAAATCTCGTAAGACGATTTAAGGCAAATCAGAAATCATTTTCATATAATAACCAAATCAACATACAATGCACATACATTATGATTTTTGTGTACTATATGCACATGATGCATACATTTTTCATATCTCTTCAACGACTTCTATATAACATTCGGAATAACAATATATGTATGTACATAATATTTAACAATTTGTACTAATAATCGTTCCCCTGCTGTTTTCGGTAAAACGCCGTCACAAAATAAGTAATTAAATAATTAATCTTCTGTCTTATCATTATAACGCATCTATTGCAATATTACTTTATTTTACTTCAACGACGTTTTTGTGCACGAATTTTCTTTTTCTTTTTATCAAATTAATTTGAGGAGATTTATTTTTCATTAAAATAATCTATGTTAAATGATAAAATTATACAATTATTAATAATTATAATTATTAAGTGCTAATTATGCGCAATTAATAATTATAATATTTACACTTTATATATAATTATTAAAAAATTTATAATTAATAATTATTATTCCATAATATTAGAATGGCAGATTTCTAATATTCTATTATCTTTATGCATCCTCACAAATGACTTTTCTCAATGTGTCCCGTATTGTATCATGCGTAGCGAAGCTGATTCCAACCGCTATGGGACCCTTAACCCAATTCATGCTCAAGCCTTTGTAAAAAGCCATTATTCCTTCTTCCCTATAAAATGCAAATTTTTTTTCCAGGCACATACACAAATGCATAACTTAATAATATAAATTTGTATATGACCATATTTGTTATAAGAGATAGTAGAATGTATGGTATCTCATATATTGATACATAAATGTGTATTATATTAGGAAAAGAAAATTTCTATATCTCTATATTTTTCCATTTTTTCAAGTTTTTAGGAAATTTTAAAGGAGAATTTTAATTTTAAAAGAGATATTTACATGTTGTGTTCTAGATGCATATATGTATGTGTGGTTCAGCCACACTATACATTTCTATTATTTTTATTATATCTTCTATTTATATTTTATATTTTATTTATAATAGTTTTCTATTTTATATATGTAGTTTCTACTGATCATTCAACTATTTGATATAACAAGATATAGTTATAATACATATATATTTTCCATTATTATAGTATCTCTGAGTGATGTTATACTTACGTGTAAATTTTCACGATAGTGGACGTAATGGTATGATAATGCTGGCCCTTGATCGCCGATGTCTGCATTCTCCGCCGCACAATGTCCAGTGGGTAGCTGCTTGTCTGACCGACCATTCCAGCGATGCCGCCGCAAATGAGCGAAGTCGAGAATCCCGGAATAGTCACCGTGTACACTGTTCATCGACACGTAGCCATCATCGAACATGAAGCACGCAGCACTTCGTATTTACGCCGCCGGTCGGGCTTGTCTCGCGTCGCTATTAAAGTAAGTACCGTCCCAATATCAGGGGAAACAGGGTGCCCCCGACGTGCCCCATCGGTACCCTGCTTTACGATCATATACAACAGCCACTCTCATTCGTATAACCCACGACTCTTTTCTCTTTTTCGCATGTTTGTTTATGCGTGTGTTGCTTGTGTCTTACGTGTTCAATGTGATGAGTACAAGCACCGCCACCGCCAGCGGGCATCAAGAGAATTTATCTGTGCAAACGAATCAACTCACCAGTCAGTAAATTCCTCAGCATGTCGTACGTGAAGAAGCTGCACCCAGCATACGGGATAGCGCCGAGGAGCGTAGCGGTGAAACCACGATAATATGCGAGGATTCCCTCCTCTTTGTAGATTCGCCAGAACGCCTGCCGTAGAGTCCTATACTCCGCCTTCAGAGTCACCGCCATTCTCGCCCGCATCAGGTCCAACGGATAAGTCATAGTCTGCGAAGTGACACCCGCGAGAGCTCCAGCTAGAAAACTTGCCCATGGCTTTTCCCTGTAAACGATACATCATAGAGATTTATGTGTCTGTAGTTTGTTCGATGAATATATAGGGTGTTTCAGGAGGAATAGTCAGCATTTTAGGACATGATTGTACACATTATTTTAAGCGAAAAAGTTGATATAAACATGTGTCCTATTCTGAATTGTTATAAAAATAAAACAATGTGTACAATCATGTCCTAGAATGTTGATCATCCTTTCTAAAACATTCTACATATATTTATCTTTATAAAGAATTTTCACGTGATACCTCTCCGCGCCGTTCACCCTCAGGATTCTCTTATACTGTTCGTGTGCCGTAAACTGCACCGCAGAATATGGCACGATCCTAATCATGGTAGCGCTATTTCCGCGCCATAAGCTGAGGAGACCCTCGGTACGTAGAGCTTTGCTCAGGAACTCTATCGCCGCTCTGGCAGAGTAGGGCTGCTTCGAGATTTGAAAATTTATCTTCGTACGATCCAACGGCGCTATCGTGGTCTTTGCAAAAGCACCCGCTACCGCGCCAGATACCAAACTCGTCCAGACTCTTTGAGTATTCGAAATCTCCTTCCCGGTGCATTTTACCTGCTTGTCCCGTAACATAAAATTATTCACGTCAATACGCAAAGATTATATTAAATATAATATAAATATATAATATAAAATATAATATTTAATATACAATATTGAATATAAAATATAAATGTAATATAAATGTATGAAATATAATGATTACAATTATGCGAGATATTGTTTCAGCGCGTGTGTAAATAATTTGAAATTTTCCTTTAAACACAGCACGTTCAATGAGTTTTTTCTTACAGTGACATCAGCATCTTGCTTCTCCATTGGTGATACCGATGTGCTAGGCGATGTCGAGGTGACGTGTTTTCCAGCGATCGGCGACACGGCCACCTGAATACAACGTTCGAGAACGGCTTGACCACCAGGATCGCCAGGACGGGTCGCATGCCCGCTCATCTCTGGCGCTCACTTTGCTGCTCCGTTACCGATGGCCTCTCATGTAGATCGACGTCTCGCACTTCGTATCGCTGACGCACGCGTCGGACCAGGACAAAATAAGTACTGCAAAGACACATCGCACACGTTTTATGAATTCTTAAAAATAGAAAAGATAATGAAACATTTTCTTAGATTTTCTAATTCTGGAATTTTTATGTTCAATTAATATTCTCTACAAATTAGAATTAATAGCCTCAGAAATAGAAATAAATGAGATTAAATATTTCAACTTTTTTTAACGATTCTTATCAACAAACGTCACTCCAAAACTGATAATTTTTATTTGTAAGCTTTGTAAGTTTATGTTATACGTATATGTACATCATCTATCATCGTGGTATCTGTAATAGTACATACAATAACTTATTATTGTATAAAATATGAAGTGTATAGCGTTTGATAACAGAATTTTCATAAAAACAGAATGACTAAGTAAGCTAAATAGATGAAGATAAACATAAGATAAGTTCAAATAAGAAACAAATAGCCACTATTTAATATTATCATTTACTGATACTAGATGGATAATGCTGACCAATAAGCTGAAGGAATGAGTTCAAAGTACATATTATAATTGTCTACAAATGCGAAAATGTGTAAAGTATAATGATAACATAAATGCCAATTACAATAAATTCACACTATACAGATATACAGATATACTTCTACATAAATTATCTTCGAAATAATAAAGAATCTCGTCTAATTTTAAGATCTTTTATTATGTTGACTGCTAAGTTTAAAGTAATGATTAGAGATAATTAAGAGCGATTGTTTTTCCCTATGTTATCAATTTAAAATCAATCGTAGTAATTGAAGATTATTTTTGATTTTTCTATTAGATGAAAGAGATAAGAAATATAATAAAGAAATACGAAAAAAATTTAATTTTTTTAGAAAAATATGTCAAATTTGAAATAATAGCTGAGAAATTTAATATTTAATATTTTTTATATTTTTAAATTTAATATTGTGTTCGTACATTTTTTTGAAAATAAACATTAATATAAATTGCAATAATTTTTTCTTATTTTTGTCAAGTTTTTTTCGTTTTTTAACTTCTTCAATTGCTTTCACGCATCCATCCTTATCATATGTGTGATATGATAATTGTCACGTATTGAAGATATATAAATACGATAGAAAGGACATTCCGTTTGTGTCAAACATCACGTATCAAGACTATTATATGTATTAATTTCCGAAAAGAAATATGTCGCACTTTAATTAGCAGATTATCTCATCATAATAGTATATATATCTTATTTTTCGATAAAAAAATATTATATTTAACAGAATATAAATTATTTAAAAAATAATATCTATGTAAAATGCTATTATTTAATAGTGACAATAAACTTGCAATAAAAGTGCAATATATATGTATAATTTTTTTATAATAAAGTTAAAAAAATAGAACTCTATATATAACTGCTGGACGTAATTTGAATAAATTTCGTAAGTGGATCGACTCATTGGGGTATTTTTAGAAATTTCTGATAAGCATTCGACTCACTTGCAATCCAAAAAAAAGTCGATTCTAATCTAAATATATCTTACACGTGTATGAAAATTGGCATGGGTTTAATTTTCGGAGTAACTTCAATATACATATATTTCATTTCTGCTTGCAAATATATATTTTATATTATATTATCAAACATGACGCCGCAAAAACGATCGTCGATCTTATGTAACATTATCGACCCATATCAGAATCTGTGAATGATGCGAGAAAATGTGCACAATGCCGAGAGATAAGTATATAATATGCATTTTCTAGAACGTGAAAACAAGTTAATACGATACGTAAATGCGTGCGAGGTCATCACGTGCAACGCTGTCATACACCAGATGATAGATCATCAATTCGTATTGCCTACAACGATTTATTTTCCACGTTCGACTTTGAATATTTCTATATGTTAATGAACGACGCAAATCGAAGTGTTTACATTTGATCGGTGACGTAAATATGTTAATTAATTTTATTATTTTATATATCACTTTAGTACTTCCTTTATTTCATGTGCGACTTAATAATTGTTGATGACTTTATGTAATATCGTGCTTGAGATCGAGTACTCTATATTTCGCGTTAAAACAATTAATGGACCAACCGAAATGCTAAAAATAACTTCGAAAGAGTTATGAAGGTCAATCGCGCCGTCCTTATATACGAAAACTCATTAAAATTCTCCTCTTAATCTATGAATTTCTAAAAAAAATAAATAAATTATATCGATTTAAATGAGAAATTGATTACCAATTAAAGAAGACGAGTGATCGAATGACATTATAAATAAAGTGCCTGAGGGACATTTTCCATTTCTAGATGTCCTTTGGACTTTATGTCGTTTGTATGAGAACTGTTGTTAAGATATCGATACAAAAGGAGTATTTTAAGAATTAATCTATTCTTAGCTCATTGTCAGATGTTGATATCAATTTTGTCTTTTGATTTGTGTTATTACGGCTTTTTATTGTTCACGAGTTGGAAGGATGACAGGAAGTGTCATCAAGCAAAGTGCGACGAGTGTAAAGCGGAGATGCGCACTTTACGCAATTGAAATACTGTGTATCATCGTATATTCGTTTGCGACACGTCGACACGTCACGAGATCGATCATCTGCGCGGACAGAAAATACGGAAAATACCTCTCGTGTTTCTTCCATTAGAGCTTTCGGAGCTTTTGTCGGGGCTCGCGATAAATCATCAAAACTCGGCAAAACGGGGAGGAAGAGAAAGATCGTACATTTGCGCGTTTTCTTTTTCCCGTCAATTTATACGATTTATATAACCGAGAATTACACAGTAATTAGCGGAACCAACCTCGTTGTTTGTAATCTTGAACAATAACGTTGCCTCAAAGATCGCCTCGCACGCCCGATCACGTCCGCGACAGTCTGCAAACTGCGGACACTCGAACTCGAGTCCCGAAACTTCCATTTGCGTATCGGGCTGCCGCGCATGCGCGGCGCCATCTGACAATGACTTTTACAAGTGCGTCGATTGGCCGCGAGAAGCCCTAGAAATTTTCCACTAGAATTTTTAGCTCGATAGCCAATCACGATAGATCGGGCCTAACCTATTATTTTCCCTTCTCATGTACCTTATTTTCATAGGTGAAAACTTGCCAATTTTGGAGTCGGTGTACTCTTTGATGCGTCGTGTCTTTTTACGCCAAAACGGTGGGAATCAATTGCCGGGGAATAAGGGATGAAATTAAGATCTTAATGTTTATAGAAAAATAAACAAATTGAAAACTGCATACGTGAATGCACATGTGTAACTTTATGGAAGCAATTGCTGCCTGAAAGGTATTAAATTCGAATGTAATTTATTTCATTTAACCTGCACATTAATTTTATACTAAAACTTATTTGCTTATGATTTAATAATTATATAAGGGTACTTTCCTACATTAGTGATACAAGTCGACAGAAGTATTATTCTATCTTTTATTATTCCTGAATGTTGAAAAAAGACAGAATGCTACTTGTCGACTTATGTGAATTTGTGTCACTAATAAGAAAGCTTATAAGTGAAGTGTTTAGATAAAAAAGACATCTGTCAATTATAAATTATTATATCCTACATGTCTTTATTGCAGTCATTCAGTATGGATGCCAAAGCTCTTCCCAGTCTCTTGAGTTTGAAAGTGACTCCTCCGTCAGAGTTACAAAATCAGAATGTTGACAATGGGATTGGAGAAGGGGATGGTGGTTCTGTTAAGCTTCCAGCTGCTCTGGAGCAAGCCCTTGCATTTAAGACAGAGAGAGCTAAAGAAATAGGCGGTGATCCTGACGATGTTATTTCTGTAAGTAAATCACCAAAGGACGATGGCGAAGATGCTTCTCAGATGGAAGACGTCATAACGGAGCTGGAACAACAAAAATCAGAAAAAATGGATTCTAAATCAAGTAAAACCAAGAAGAAGAAAAAGTCAAAGAGGAAGAGACACAACGGTGAGAAGAGGGATGGCGAACAGAGGAAGGACAGTGTAGAGGACAATGCTAAGAGTAAAGATGATTTGCCGGAAATAGAGTATATACAGGAAATACCGAGCATAAATGATTTAGAACCGATGTATCGTCAATTTGCTAGGGTCTTCGAAGCGTTCAAACTGGTGGAGCCGGAACCGAGTCCGAATGACGCGGCTGACAAGGGTGAACCCATCGGGCAGTATCCCCCGTGACGAATATACAGACCGCCGGCACCGGGGTGCCGAGTAAAGTGCCGCTGTTGGACGATTTCGACGACGATGCGAATCAGCAGCAGCAGCAGCAGGGCACCGGCGAAAACGGGGCTCCACGACTGTCTAAGCGAAAACTAAAAAGACTCACACGACTGAGCGTAGCGGAACTGAAGCAGCTGGTGGGTCGTCCGGACGTGGTGGAGATGCACGACGTTACGGCGCGAGATCCTAAGCTGCTCGTGCAATTGAAGGCGCATCGAAACACGGTACCTGTACCGAGACACTGGTGCTTCAAGCGGAAGTATCTCCAGGGCAAACGGGGTATAGAGAAGCCGCCCTTCGATCTGCCAGACTTTATCAAGCGTACCGGTATCACGGAGATGAGAGCGAGTCTGCAGGAACGCGACGACACGCGTACGCTGAAGGCGAAGATGCGGGAGCGAGCGAGGCCCAAGCTGGGTAAGATCGACATCGACTATCAGAAGCTGCACGACGCCTTCTTCAAGTGGCAAACGAAACCGCGTATGACGATCCACGGGGACCTCTATTACGAGGGCAAGGAATTCGAGACTCGATTGAAAGAAAAGAAACCGGGAGAACTCTCGGACGAGCTGCGCACAGCTCTGGGCATGCCGGTCGGACCGAACTGTCAGAAGGTACCTCCGCCCTGGCTCATAGCTATGCAACGTTACGGGCCACCGCCGAGTTATCCGAACCTCAAGATACCCGGTTTAAACGCACCCATTCCGGAGGGCTGCGCTTTCGGTTATCATGCAGGCGGATGGGGAAAACACCAGTGGATGAAACAGGTAGACCGCTCTACGGAGATGTGTTCGGGGTGTCCCGCACATCCGGCGCGGATGCGATGGACGAGGAAATTGATCGGGGAATGTGGGGCGAGCCGGAATCGGAGTCGTCTGGCGACGAGGATGAGGATGAGGACGCCGAAGAAGGTGGCGAGGGTGGCGAGGGCGAAGGAAAGGACGGAGACGATGACACTAGCGGATTGGTCACTCCTGGTGCAGAAGGTCTGATCACGCCGAGTGGTATCACGTCGATTCCGGCTGGTTTGGAGACTCCGGAGACCATCGAGCTGCGAAAGAAGAAGATCGAGAGCGAGATGGAAGGCGGGGATACGCCCGCTCTGTACACGGTACTGCAGGAACGACGTACGGAGGGTCTGGGCGCCAGTATGATGGGTAGCACGCACGTTTACGACATGACTGGCGCAGCGGGTGGCCAGGCACCACCGTCTGTCATCGCGGCACGTCGTGGCGGAATCAGCGGTAGCGCGAGCGACGCTCGTGCAGAAAAGGACGGGGCGGTGGAGTTGACCCTGGATCCCAGCGAGTTGGACCTCGACTCTGAAGCGATGGCGTCCAGGTACGAGGAGACGATGAGATCCAGACAGGCGCACCTTAGGAGAGAAGATCTGTCGGATATGCTGCAAGATCACGTACAACGGCAGAAGGTATCTATTTTTATTGCGTTATAAATATAAGGAGGAATAGCATTAAACACTCTTTTTATTCTATGTATTTTATTGATTACATTTATATCACATATAAATATATTACATGCATATAATTATATAAATTGGTTCTTTTAATAACATTCTTTTAGTATGTCAATTTTGTACTAATTATTTTTGTTTTTGTGTTTCAGAGCAAACGTAAACGTCAGCAAATCCAGGACACAAAAACATCTAAGAAATATAAAGAGTTCAAATTTTAAGGTTTTGTTGTATTATTTTTCCTCGTGATTATGTATCATATTATAATATAGGAATGAAATTATTTGAGATACATAAGATTGGGCTTATTGTAATGCACCACTTCGACGAGATCGCAAAATATTATTCAATAGTGATTCCAATTTTGTATTTCATGTTTACAAGTTATATGGTTGATCGATAATAAATGGATCAGCCGTGTACATTTACGATATATAAATTGACGATAGTGATAGATTATGATAATACACACTATGAGCTAAATATTTTTCAATAAATATAATTTTCTATTTTTACGTAACACAAATAGGAACGACTACGTAAGTACTATATCGAAAATGCAGTCTTTAATACACATTTGTTCAGTTTTTTAAATTATGTTTTTAATTATGTCACATTTTTCAGTATAGTGACACTATATGGCAGTAAATATGTATAATTATTTCACACAGTTCATTAATGTAATGCACTGTCATACCTCGAAGTTTCTTGTACTGAATTTTGTTGCAATCTATAATATATTCTCAAAATAATCTATGAACAAGTGAATGTTTCAAATGCATTATGAAAACTACCCACTCAAACTTTGGTCCAGCAACAGGATAATAATTTAATTATACGAGTATATATACATAATTAATTAGATTAATTATAATTTATATATAATTATAAATAATATTATAATTAATATAATTATATTATAATTAAAATTAAATTTATATATATATATAAAATATATATTATACAATGTGTCTCTTTTGAGATAATAAATTGATGTGGAATTGTTTTAAATCAAATTCCATAAGCGGATATGATAGACGTTGCAATAGTACAAAAAGACAAGGAAGAAATAAAGCAATAACGAACTTACTGATAGCAATACCGATGTCGAGCCAACTGCCATACGGCGTGACACAGTACATTAAAGGTAGCAATAAACAATCGCCTAGGAAAAGAACAGTTGAAGAAATAGTCTTTTTGTCCTCTTCTGATTCTAGTGAATAGCTTGCGCATCCGACTATTATCAAAGGAATGCTAAGCTTGAAGATTATCAAAGATGTCATTAGAAACGGAGAGAAAACTGTTACAAAGTGACGCGTCCAAGATGGATCAAACGAGCTAATGCTCGCCATATTTCCTGTGCCAAAGAAACTCAATAATATATACAACATCTGTAGTAAGATGTTAAGGATATACATAAATTATTATAATTGTTTCTCACATAAATCAGAAGAAAAATATTACAAAATTAAAAATGGAAGATAAATTTAATTTTTTTAAGATTAAATAATATTAGATTACTTAGTCACAATATATAAATTTAATAATCTATTTTTCTTATTTTTAATTAATTAAAAATCTTTGAAATATAAACGAATATCTTGTGATAGAAATTCTTGTAACAGTAAAAAAAAATTTTTTTTAAGGATACAAAAAATGCTGCCTTGATCAAGTCCCTTGTAATATGTGTCTTTTGTATATTTCTTGAGTTCTTTGAAGTGGTTTGCAACCAACAATGTAAGTTGATTGTAAGTATAATTAAGAAGAGTGGCTCGTATGATGTGGACAATAATGTAAGAGGACAGAAAAATCCAAGCATTACACCCAGCATTCTTCTCTTGGGTTCCATTGGATAGTAACAAATGCATAATGGTGTAGTCAGTAGAATGGTCCACGATATCCAGTATCGACCATCGAGAAATTGTGTATACACCAGGCTCGTAATAATTAAACGTAAAATTTCCATTATTTTCCGACTTTGCGATGTTTCATTAATAATCACTATCGACATTGCAACACAAATGCCAATTATCCTGAAAAAAAAAAAAAAAAAAATTTAAGTCAATAAAAAATTTATTTTATATTACTAATAAAAGAAAAAAAACGAACAAAATTGTTAGCTCTATTCAATATTTTTTTATTAAAATATCTTTAAATAATTTTTAATTATGTGTAATTGCTTTCAATATAAACATACACAATATAGTTGCGTGGATATGGCTCCACGACCGGCAATAAAGGAAAGACACATAGTGCTATTGACGTCCAAATCATGGGTGCTGGTACATTTTTCGATTTTGCTATTCGTATCAATATGATAGATAGTACTCCTATGCTGAGAGCAAATCTATATGTCAGTCCGACAAATAGTATTACTAATAACAACAATGTGCCTCCGATATCTAAAGATAGTTTTTTCTTGCTTTTTATAAACACAGGCGTCAACGTACTTATTTTAGTAAAGCCCAACCATATAGAAAATATAGAGATGCACGTAAAGAACGGTAATCTCCAGTTCCTATAATCAGATACTGTACACAAAGTAGATTAATAAAATTTATAATTAATAAAAACACATAATTAAAAATCCATTTTTATAAGTAAAAAAATTATAATTTAATGGAAAAAATACTCCATAATAAAAAGAGATAAATTTTTGTATACTAAATTAATGCATTTTAGTGTGCAATTACCATTAACTAACTGTCTAACTAACAGTATTATCAGCAGACCTCCTAATCCCACGGTTATAAGTACAGAGACTTGCAAGTTTCGACGCTTACGTTTCATTCCAGTTATTTTCGAGAATAACGTAATTATCCAGCCAAGCCACATTATCGATAGACTTATTAAAAAGCGCATTCGCGAAAATCGCCTGAAATATAACAAGGCTTCCTTGCCAAAGTGAATTGCTTCTTCGGCCTCTCGAATTCCATCTGTGATATTTCTTTTATTGATATGTTCTTCGATTTTACGAATTCTATTATTTAATTGCGTTTCTCGCCAATCAATATTAGTATCGTCATATATAGCACGATTTCCAGTTACTTGATGTGCAAGTTGTTTCACATTGCTGAGTAAAAAACGTCCGACATATTCCTGATAATTCGCGTCAAAGTATTGCCACGGTAGTGCACCCTAAGAAAAATATTTCGTGTGAATATTTTATATATTAAATGATATACTATATACATATAAAATGTAAACACTTACTTCGTTATTTGTAGGAATAGGAATTCCTATCAAAGACGCTATCAGGGGAGCTATACTCGCTTGCTCAATATCTTGACGGAAGCAAGACGATTTTATTCCTGCTCCCCAAACAACTAACGGTGTCTCAGTCTCGGATGGCAAACCACTTCCATGAGATCCCCAATCGGTCATTCCATGATCTGCCGTGAATACATAAGCAGTGGTACCTTTTCCAAAAAAGTTCTCTGTCATATTCACAGTCTCTTTAATTCTCATATCGACATAGTTCATGTTTTCAATATATTCCCTAAATTCAAAATTTCTCTCTTATCAATAGATCTGCATTTTGTATATTTAAAAAAATACAACAATCTGCAACAAATCTTGAATACTTGGAATGTGGTTTTTTAGCATGTCCTAGTGTGTCGCATCCGAGTAAATGAAGGAATAAGATAATTTTATCCTGATTTTTCAATGTTTTAGCTACCGAGGAGTTCAACCATTCCAAATAAGCATTAAATACCCATGAGTCCAAATGCATTGTCTGATTATTCAAGTTTGGGTCAAAATCTTGCCACGTGGAGGGATAACTACTTCCATGAACATTTTGTTTGCTACCTGTGTTTTCGAGATTTCAATATAAGCATAAGAATTAAAAGATTGACAATGCTATATCTTCCTTTTAGAATACCCTTTGTGAACATTGGAATTATATCTGGACTGCCCCAAGCCCAAGTAGCATAGCTTTGATTGAAAACAGAATCAAAATCCACTGGATTTTCCTGCCAGCCCTTAAAGATAGCACTTGGATCTTCGTACAATCCTGCTGTAATTGCAACATGACCTGGTCTCGATTCTGTGGGCACTCTTGTATGAGATATTCCCCAAACGCCCTTATTTTTCATCACATCCCTGCAAAATATATCAAAGTAAAATGTACAAATATTAAAATGTAACAAAATATAAATTATAATATATTAAAATTTTTAAGAATTATAATAATACATAAATTTATATCCAAATAAAATTAAATTGTGATCAATAATATTATTGATGTATTTAATAAGATAAATTAATTTTTACTCAGTGTAAGAATTAATTAATTAAATAAAATCCAAACAACAAAAATAAAACTGCTTTATAATTTTTGAATGACAAGTTTTGAAAAATACCCGAGAAAAGGTGGTGTCTTATCTATGAATGTCTGAAACCTCAGACCATCTGCTACAAAAAGCAACAATCTTTTAGCCGGAGGACCACTCGGTGCTGATATAACCGGCAATTCTTTAATGATAAATGAATTAAAATTAACATCAAGCACACTCCATAATAAAACGAAGTGCATATAAAATCCCCATAGACCGAATAAATAACTATTGTCCGGTATTGGATCGATCCATGGCTTTTTATATTCTATTGAATCATATGATTGGCACTCGATATCGTGTAACTTTTTTGCGAACATTTTTAATAATTTTCGAAACTTAAAATTCACAGGTTGACATAACACGATATCCCATACACACACCTGAGCCCGGGACATCTGGGCACAATATTAATTTAGCAGAAACATATCGAGATTTTGAACAGAAGTTGTGTATGACGATCTCTATTCTAAATTCCTCTTCAATTCCTACTGCATATAGTAAAATGCGTACAAATGAAAAATTGCATTGTCATAGTTGTATCTTTCACTCATTGTTTCTTTTTTCCTTTTTTTTGGCATTACTTTATCTCGGAAAAAATTATTTAGCATTTTGCATATGGTTACATGTTACCATAATCACATGACAACTGTAAATAATGGGAGAACAACACGAGAGGAAAATTTCAGTTTACGGAGACACAACTGGTTCAGAATTGGGAGAATTTGCTTCACATCTGTTTATTTATATACGTTTTCCACATTATCTGATGTCGGCAAGTCAGATTGGAAAAAAATATAAATTGCCAAAACTATTATGAGCACTTGAAGATATATATATACTTATATATACATAGAATGAGGAAAATGTAATTATGTAAGAAGTTGAATCTATTTCAAGAATAATGATTCTAAGAATTTTACGTCTTTTGACACGAAATTTTAATATAAATTTTCTGTGCAAATTTATATCACACACATTTATCTACATTTCTTAAAAGTATTTGAATAGATAAGCAAATATACATTATTATATATATATATATATATATATATATATATATATATATATATATATATATATAGTTAAAAATTATTGTATAGGACTAGTATAATTAAACTGCAATTTTTTGAAATTAAATTACAAAATAAGTATATAAGCCAAAAGAGAGTATTATGTACATTTTTAAATATGAATGTCGAATCTTCTTTTAAATACTAGCACCAGTCTAGTACATGTAATATTTCAAATTATCTCTCTGTGTGATGTACTTTATATATAAAACGTAGTTAAATATATAATTTAACTAATTTTATCCGGTTTTAATTCTTTATAATAGACTATAGCACGCTCTATCATTGATCTGTTTTCGCTTTCTGTACTCGCTTCAGTTGTACTCTTACTATTTTTATTAGAATTTTTTTTTGTATTGTCTTCCAAACTGTTGCTTATTTCCTGCGGGGATACAGGTTCGGGTAACTTGTGCCTTGTATGCTTGGCCAAGTCACGGATTGCATTTTGCAGATAATGGATACGAGCTTCCTGCTGCAACGTAGTATCGTACAACGCCTGAATATCATCCGTAAACTTCTGTATCTGCATTTGACGGACCTCTTCCTTCTTCGCTTCTTTCGTGACCTGTCTATTGTACTCCAGGATCACGCATCCACCAGCTACACCAAAAATAATCAACTCGCCCATCAAACTAGCACCCAATTCAATAGCCATAGTCTCGTTCAGCTTTGCCACCTTTGTGGGCTTACCAAGATTCATGATATACATCTTTGCTTTCACCTCCGCCCAATGATAAACTATAAACATCGACAATTACATTTTATAAAGGATGTTTTGTAAAGAAATAAATTTTGAAATAGAGAAGTACTTACATTGAGCAGGCGGTATGATGAAGTAAGTCCTGAAAATCGGATGACTCTTTGCTTGATTGACGAGAAATTTGGCTAAAGGTTTACTGATTTGTTTGACAAAGAGTACGCCCAATTTAAGGGCCGGAAATACGCCGACCGGCATCTTTGCCGATTAACGAAGCAGCAACGGTAGCAGCTTCTCATCTGCTTTCTCGATATTCTAAAAACGATTTTTTCTTAATTAAAAAAATCATAGAGAGCATCTCAAGTGTCAAATATCAGATTCGTTTCGTCGAGTTCAGTTTAATGTTATTTCGTAATCGCGAAATCATTACCTCACCTGGGAAATTATTTCGGCATATAATATTATTGTTATGTCACATGACAGAGATTCTCTTATTACGATTCTCTTTGAGCTGTGCACAGCATAATTCTTAGCTAAAGGATAAACCACGTTCTAATCTCATCGTTGAGAGACAAAAAGGTTTTCACGAACAATAATAAATCTTTTTACAAAGGTACAGTGGACTGAGATCTATGGACAACCTTTCGGGTTAGGTTCGGTTAGATTAGCAAAAAGTGCACAGCTAAAAAAGGAACAGGCCTACGGATACTATACAACAAATAATGAGTAAGATTTTATTATTTCATTATTTCGAGATGATATTTTGCCATTTTAGCTTCAAGGATATTTTTCAAATGTTTTTCTATTATTTTTCCTTCGATATAAAATTTATTTCATCAGGAGCACTAAATGTAGATGCACAGCTAAAAAGGAACAGACCTACGGATATACAACAGTAATGAGTTAATTATTTCGAGAGGAAATTTTGCCATTTTAGCTTCAAGGATATTTTTCAACATTTTTTTCTTTTATTTTTTCTTCGATATAAAATTTATTTCATCAGGAGCACTAAATGTAGATGCACAGCTAAAAAAGGAACAGACCTACGGATATACAACAGTAATGAGTTAATTATTTCGAGAGGAAATTTTGCCATTTTAGCTTCAAGGATATTTTTCAACATTTTTTCTTTTATTTTTCCTCCGGTATAATTTATTTCAGGAACAATAAGCGCAGATGCACAGCTAAAAAAGGAACAGACCTGCGGATTGCGCACTGCGCCGATCGTATCTTGCCCTCTCGATACATATCAACACACACACACACACATACATAAAACACGCACCCATACACGCATACGCGCGTGCACACATGACTCCTGTCATGAGATAAGAATAATGTTTCGCTAGTGTTGATTAGTCCAAGTTTGTCGACAATTCACCGATTAATAATAGCGGGTATATACTAAAATGACGTGTCGTTGTATTGATATGCGTATTCTCATGGGGACTCGAGAAGCTCGCAATTTCGGATTCTTCGCGCACCCGTGACATTTTTATATCTTCGCACAGGTGAGAAAGAAATATGTGTACGTTCCTCTGTGTCGGCAAATGTGTTTCTCATTTGAATCGAAATTAATTCGTATAAATCTAACGTGATGAATAGTCGGAAATGCGTGATGTCAAACTTCTCTTTATATACATATGTAAGGAAAAAGCATGCGCGAATACGTGACGCGAATGCTCTGGAAATTGGAGATAATCGCTTTTCCGTGTGTTAGTTATAGTAATAATTATATTTTTTGAGAAAGTATAAAATACATATGTGATATAGACATTTTTGTAATATGCATAAATAAGTACAAACGTAACTATTTTTTATATGTGCAAATAAAAGTAATATAATCAGGAATTAAAAATTTAGATTTTTTATAACGAAAAGGTGTATTTTCGGATAAATCATGTAAAATGCGTTTACATCCTTGTCAAATCCTCTATTTATTTCATTCAAGATCATTTATTTTGGATAATCTATGATGTAACTTAATGCAATGAATGTAATCATTAATTATTAACGTTGGAGCGAGTATGCCTAATAACTTGTAATTTTCAATTATTTGTATGTTTTCGATTTTTTAATTCATAAAACAAAGTTTTAGCTTTGTTTTTGACATAAGAGATTATTTTAAAATTGAATTTTTTATTTGATTTCTAATGTATGACTGTTACTTAACCTCTACTTTCAATATGAATTGAATTAGATTGAAGCCATTTGTTAAACAATAAAGTATACATTTCCACGTTATTAAAAAATCGTACATTTTTCAACTATATTTATTAACTGGATATTGCACTTCAATCAGCTGATTACAACTATTTTTATATTTTACAGATTTGATGCGCTGCTGTTTGGCGATAATGTCAATAATATATTACATTGGATATACTTTTTATGTATAGATAAGAGTTTAAACTTTACACAATATGTGGTCCTTTTTTTCAAGAGATCCTGCCAAGGATTTCCCATATGATATTGGGGAACCTATCCCAGGTTTAGAAAATAAAAGTATCTGGACATTGCACAGAGCTAAGAGAAAGGTAATTTAATTAGATATAATAGAAATAATTTGTACTTTGTAAAAGCACTATACAAATTATAATTTACAATAGTAAATCATATTTGCAAAATCTTTATTTTATAATTTTATATATATAATGAGAATATACTTTGTCATTGTAAAATCTTTCTTAGGGCACCACAACAGGTGAGGATGTTTCAGTTTTTGTCTTTGATGTTAAAAATGGAGGAGAGCAACAGCTGGACATTGTTCGTTCAGCTGTAAAGAGGCTTAAGACACTTAGGCATCCAAGTATACTCGCGTATCTTGATAGTCTTGAGGTATAAGTTGTGTCAATTTACATTTGTTTAATATCAATAATTGTTAAGAGAGATGTAATTTGCACTCTTCTGTGTGTTATTCTAGACTGACAAAATGGTTTACTTAGCCACAGAACGTGTGGAGCCATTGTACAATCGTATGACACAGAAATGCAATTTTGAAAATGATTCTAAGAAGGAATTATACTTTTCCTGGGGTATATTTCAAATTACAGTATGTATAAATGAATATCACATATTACATTGGAAATTTCTAAACAACATACATTGAACAGGAAAAATCTATAATACATATTACTTCGATTTGATGGCAGAGGGCACTTAACTTCTTAAATAATGATGGGAGTTTACGGCATAATAATGTCAATCTGTGGACAGTGTTTGTTAATGAAGAAAGTGGCGAATGGAAACTCGGCGGTGTCGAGTACATGACGGCTATGGATACATTATACAATTTCTTACCCCAACTTTTCAAGTGTATCGACCACCAGAGGCTAAAGAAAATACAAAACCATTAACTAAATGGTAAATAATTAATTTTATTTAAATTTCAAATAACGTGTCTATAATACAATATAGTATAATACATATAATACAATAAAATTAATAAATAAAAAACAATAGCTCAGTTGACATGTGGGGACTTGGCTGTTTAATTTGGGAAACGTACAATAGCACCCTTAACAACAGCTCGCAGCTTAAAATTACAGGTCAAGTAAGTTAGTTACTTATTTTATATAATATTTTATTGAAACACAATATTCATCAAAACAATATCATTAATTTATTTTCCTTTTTTGTAAGATTCCGAAGCAAATAACGGCAGTATATCGGGAATTAACGGGAGTTAATCCAGAAGGAAGACCAAATCCTGCAGATGTGATAGCGCGTTGCCGCAGTAACGGTGGATTTTTCAAAAATGATCTCGTTGACGCTCTATTATTTTTGGAAGAGATTCAGATGAAGGAGAGGGGAGAGAAGATTCGATTCTTCTCGCAATTGGCCACGCAATTGGCTTCGTTTCCCGATGGCGTCGGCAGATATAAGATTCTACCACAATTGCTGGCAGCCTTTGAATTCGGAGATGCCGGAAGTGCAGTATTGCCGCCGTTGCTGCAATTGGGCTCTCAATTACCTGACGCCGAGTACCAGCGTCGAGTAGTGCCATGTGTCGTCAAGTTGTTCGCGTCGAATGACAGAGCGACAAGATTACGGTTATTGCAGCAATTGGATCGATTCATCGACCATCTACAATCAGCAACTGTTAACGAAGCTATCTTTCCTCAGGTAAAAAGGATTCATTGGATATTAACACATTTTACATTCAAATTCTTACATTCTATGCTTCTGGATTCTATGAAATCCATGACGATAAATCTAAGAAAGTCAAGTTTTCTTATACAATCTTGTCTATAATTTTAGAGTAAATAGGAAAAAAAAGAAAACAGAAAAATGTTGTTCACTTCTTTCTCCATCAATTTATAAAATAATAAATATTTAGACAATCTTAAACATTTTCATTAGTATATATGTAATTAATAATTTCATATACAAAATATCAATCAACTATATTAATAATTTTTATTACTACATGTATATTACATTGTATAACAATTAAACTATTATATTATAAGACTTCAATTTTATATATATATATATTTGCAGGTAGCAAACGGCTTTCTTGATACGAATCCAGCGATCAAGGAAGAAACGATAAGATCAGTCGTACATTTAGCACCAAAGTTAGATTACAATAATCTTAATGTCGAGACTTTAAAACATTTTGTAAAGCTTCAATCAAAGGATGAGCATGGCAGTATTCGCACGAATACAACAGTTTGCCTTGGAAAAATTGCTCAACATCTTCATCCTCAGATAAGGCAGAAGGTAATATTGATTTTAATATTTCTGGCATCTTGCACAACTATTAAGCGATAAACTATTTTTTCTTCAACAGATATCTACCTTCTTTATCTATTTTTAAAAAATTATTTTTGAATTATTCTTGTATTGAATAAATTTCATAAATATATTTTAAATGTAAAAAATAATATCTCTCAATCTTTAGTATTCCTAAATATATAATTATACTATAATTTATAAAATAATATATTTTAATAATATATTTTAATAAATACTAAATAATATATTCATTTGAAATGATGTAATTGTTGTTAAATCAATTTATAAATGTAATTTTAGGTATTGCTTGGCGTATTTATCCGGGGAACTCGCGACTCCTTTCCGCCAGCTAGAATTGCAAGTATACTGGCTCTTGCTGCAACGCAGCAATATTTTCTACTGCAGGAAGTTGCAAATCGCATTTTACCAGCTTTGTGTCCACTTACCACAGACGTGGACAAAGGTGTACGAGACAATGCATTCCGAACCATAAGAGGTTTTTTATCGAAGCTTGAGACAGTCTCTGAAGATCCTGGGCTTCGCGAATCGATGGGTAAATTAAAAAAAATACAAAATATTTCGAGCTTTTGATATCTTATATAACATTTTTACAATAACAATACTATATTTATACATTTTATGAACATTTTATTAATTGTGCGTAATGCTTGATGAATTATTAATTGCGATTCTTTAAGGGAAAATAAAAATACTGAGACTAATGTTATTATTGAAATATGTTTGTAGAGGCAGATGTGAATACCGCGACACCCAGTCTCAGCAACGCCGCGGCGACGTGGGCTGGATGGGCCGTTACTGCGGTTACGGCGAAATTCTATCGCAGTCAATCCGATACACCAAAATCCTCGAATCCTCATAATACATCTAGGATCTTATTAAATAAACCTGCTTCCTTAGGTTCGCATCGATTCTTTTTATTAGTGTTCATCATATTGTATCATAGCGCGCAAGTCTATAATCTCTTCTAAAATTTCATTAAAAAATAGAAATGTATTTTATTCCATGTACATATATCTATTTATTACATCTCTATTATTTAATTTTTTTAGAACAAGCAAGTAGCTCTCAAAGCAGCGCCAGCACAACTGCCACAACGAGCAGCGCGACGAGCATGACCTCCCTCGATCCCGATCAGGAACACGATACGCAAAATACTCAAAATACAAATTCCGATTGCGATTGGGATTGCTGGGATGCCGATAATTGGGGAGATATGGAGCAACAGCCCACGGCTACGCCAGCGGTGCCATTGAATCCAACTAATACTAAATCACCGTCCGGCCACTCCCCTAAAGCTAATGAACAGTGGACCAGCCTTGAGGAGGAACCGGTTTGTATCTTGGCATTTTAATATTTTTTTACTGATTCAAGGTTCTGCTTTAACACCTTCATATGGCTCGACTGAATTTGCATTGAATCGGATACGTTAATGCGAACGATAGCGATTAAAATTCTTCGCTTTTTTAAGTAAAATCTTTGGATCTTTTTTCTGTTTAATAAAAATATCTTAAAGTACCGATTCGTATTATAAGTAATTAAAAAAAGGAACAAACATATATAAAAAAAAACACTATGATCTTATGACTGTACATCTTGATTGTCAGTATTCTGTATATTACAGGAAGAAGAAACAATCCAAGGTGTTCAAGAAAAAAATGATTCTTCCGAGGTAGGATGGGACGATTCAGAGTTCCAGCCTCTGGAAGATGTTCAGCCCTTAGAGGAACAAAGTATATTTGACTTGATTAAGAGTAACACATATACAAATCTCTATTCATTTATTAATAAATATATATTTTTTTGAATAGGCGTTCCTAGTGGAAATAATAAATTTGAAGAAGCAAGGAGAAAAAGAGAGGAACGTAAATTGGCCAGGCAAAGACAAATGGAGGCGAAACGAGCGGTGAAATTACGAGCCAATCCAACTGCGAAAAAGATTTAAGTAATTATACATCGTATACATATTATTCTATTGTACATTAAGCAAATTAAATATTACAAATAATACAATGAAAGTATTTTCTGTATTTATAACTTATCTGATGTAAGAAAGAAATTTATCCAAAAAATGTTTTCTACAATATTATTTATTAACATTATATGCATGAAAAAATATACATATGTTGAGTACAATTTAATTATTTATTTAACAGTTACTTTCACTTTTTACAACCTAATGTAATCTATAATGTTACAATATTTTATATGTATTAATAGGATTCATCTTTTTTAAAAACATTTTCTAGTGTTAATGTTAATTAATTAACACTAAAAATAAAATATAAAAGATACAGTATAAAATTCGATATATTTTATTAAGTCATTCGAATGACTATAGTTCATGTCAATATTAGTATGATAAAAATTTATCTTCTAAAAAAAATTAACTTTTTCTTAATTTTTTGTTAATGAGATTTTTAATGAGATTTTTTTTTCCTAGAAAAAATCGAATTATATCTTCCATTCAAGATTCCAATCAAATGTATCTTGCTTTCAAATTTCGACTCTTGCTAAGGATATTTTTACATTTTTCGTTTATGTGTATAATATATTGCATTGCAAGTTTTGATTGGTCAATCCATCATTATCAGACACAAGGCCACCATAAAGCAAATTCAATTACTATAAATGTGACTGTTCAGTTGGGTTTTCATTGTGGAAACGCATATTAAGATAATTAGCATTGTTAGTTTCTCTTTTGAAACCTATGTTCTCATAGAATGGCACTAGACGATCCGTACAATCCAAAGATAACTTATAACAATGAAAGTAGCGTGCTAATTGCATTATTATTGTCACCACCAGCTTCCCCAATGATTTACCTCTATAACTGTTGTTGACAACTACATCTTCCAAACGTCCACGCTGTAAAAAAAAAAAGTATATACCATTATATACTATTCTTGGTTTAAAACAAGGAATTGGAGAATATAAAAAATAATTACATACCAAACTACAATTATGAATAAATTTCTGCTCTACAACCAATGTTGCACATGCAATTACTTTCCCAGAATTTATGTCCTCGATAACTACAACATAGTAACCGCCAGCAGTCTTCATGCTGTAGAATCTATCTAAATAATGTGAGAATAAAAAGATATAGCCAAATTATTATTTTTATTATTTGTTAAAATTTAATTTCTGATTATAAAAGCTTACTTAAGAATTGTTCCTTTGTAACATTTCCAACGTCGGTCAATTGAGACAAAAGAACTAAAAAACCTATCAAATTTTGATTACTTAAAAAAAATATTAAATATTACATTATAGATATGTATGAAATATGTGAAAAAAATATATTGCAAGAATTAAATTTACTAAATATACCTTTCTCATAATCTGTATTTCTCAATGGTCTTATGAACAATCCAGCGACATGCGATATTGATATTCTATCCAGTATAGCAGGATTGAAGAGATTAATTTCATCTTCTTTGATCATTTTTCCCTGAATTAATATAGTTTTTTTTAATAACATATTTTTTACCACAATTTTACAATAAATTTTTTTTGTTTTATTACCAGCTTCTTGCGTTAGCGATTTAATAACGTGGCACTTGAAATTATCTTTCCTTATGTAAATATATGACTTAATTTTCGAAAAACAATAAAACCGGGGATTCGAAATTATATGCAAGATCTCATCCTAGTAAACTTAAAGGGCGAAAAAACATTAACATATGCATACTGTACCTGCGTTTCGTTCATGCTTGTTGCACGCTTCGCGGCTCGCGTTTACTTGTCAATCGTTAATCTCCAATCGCATCTGTCGCATCTGACGGCTGACGTCTGACCGTCTGACCTGACACAAGACGCAACCTGACAACACATGTACGAACATGTACGCTTCAAAGCGCCTTCAGCGGAATTATTGCGTACTAACTCTCGTCATGGCGCCGTGCTTTCGTTGACACGACCCGGCTGGAATATGAAAACAAACAGGAGTTGTATAATTGAACATTAATATTTCGAATAATCATGTATGAAAGTAATGGTGTACGATAATGTTTGTTGTTCGCGAGATAAAACTCAACGAGGATTCATCGTGTAAAGACGATTTTTCGTACGATCGAGTAACAGAATTTGTGAGCTTTCGTGAATTTGTGAATTTATAGTTTTTAACACATATGTAATTATTTTCTATATAATAAATGCGTCTGTTGTGAGTATAAATATAATATATTATTGTATAATTTATTTTCTACAACAGATCAACGATGAGCCCCAATAAGAGAAAGATATTAAAGTCGGATATATCCGATGATGATGATGATGATGATGATGATGACAGTTTCAAACGTCGACGTACTTCCCTGAGAGTCAATTTGAGTTATTCCGAAAATTTGACGGATTCCGGCAATGGATCCTTGTGGAAGACAGAGATCGATACTGAAAAAGGGACGGATACAGTGCGAACTAATAGAAGACTGTTGAGAGGCAAAAGAAATGATACATATAAAAAGAATCGTCAAGCTGATTTTGACAATGAAGAGGATTCGCGAGTTAAAAACGATACGAGTAAGCTTGTAAATAAGGACACTAATATATCCTTTCATATCAAAGAAGGAATACAATTAAAACGACTTACGGTGAATCTTGAGGATATGAATCTTACAATTAAGGAAAAGGCTCTTGAAACAAACTGCAAGCGTTTAAAAGATGCAATTTTAAATAAAACTCAAGAGATATTTGATAGAGAGAACGAGTTTTCTATAAAAACTGCAATGATATTGAAGGATAAAAGAAATCACTTTGCACATGATAAACATGATGCAAATATTGAGAATAAATCAGTCGTTATACTAGATGCAAAGCCTAATCATCAATCAAGAAATAAGGCAATCATGGAACATGAAAAATGTACTAATATTGTGAGCAATCAACACAGAGACAATGAATATTCCAATATTGTCACTACACCGACGAATGGCAATCAAGTAGAAAGTTCCAAGAAAGCTATAGATAAATCTAGATTAACTCAAAGACGATTATTTGCTGAGGAAGACAAACAAATGGAAGGACAAGCAAAGTGTAAAATCATAGAGGATATTATTTTGAAGGACAAATTTCCATTATTTTCCCTCAGACAGACAGATCAAATTAGCAGTCCCATATTAAGCGGCAGTAACAGAAGACTTACTTTACGAAGAACAAGATCTAAGATACTTTCACAAAATCAATCTGAAAAGCATAATACTACATTCTCAACTATACAGAGTGATGATATAGGAGTACCCATTATTTGCTCCACTTTCAATGAAAATATGATAACAGAGGAAAAAGATAAAAACAGTCCTAACAATGAAGCAAACAGTGATGCAGATACATCTCGTGCCACATATACAGTGAATAAAGTAATATCTATGGAAATGACAGAAGTTCATGGTGGTATTCGAATGAGTCAGAAATATCCATCTTTACAAAGTACAAATTCAAGTAATAGTATCGAAACTAACAAGAAAAAGGAATCCAAAGGAAAAAGTCCAGAACAGAATGAAACTAAGAATCACGAGAGACGTACATTATTTTTGTCTGACAGTGATAATACAAATCGGTCATCTTTAAATGTGAACACTTCATTGGATGCAATGACTGAAGCTGACAAAGAAGAAAATGTTCGGAAAACGAATGATTACAAGGCCAATAATAGCAATCAAAGTTTTAAAGTGACAAAAACAAATAATAAAAAGTCAACAGCTTTGGATAATCAATTTGAAAGTTCAAACATCACTGAAACTTCATCAATGAAAATGAATACATCTGTAAATTCAATAGGCAAAATATGGCAAAGAAGAAGTAACCATTTTCAATCATTGATCTCAGATAAGAACAATGAAGACACAATGAAAAATCATCCAAGTATGGACAATCAACATTTAATGGCAGCAGAAAATGAAGAGGCCAATGATGTAGACTCGTTAGAAAATATCAGCTTAATTGAGAGATTAAGAAATATCTCCACACAAAATCAGGTTTTCCATAATAATAAATCGAAAGTTTCCGAAACGAAAGAAAAACTAAGAATAGATAACAGATCTAATATTAAACTTCCAAGCAGCGATCGTAAGAATAACAGTGGTGATAGTTATGTTGAGGGAACTCCATATCCAATAAGCCGTTCAGTCTTGTTCAGAACACTTTTAAGACATAAGACACAGAATTTGGATAACAGTGTAGCATCTTGTAGCAATAATTTAAATTCTGTAGACAATAAGGAGAGCAATGCTGCAACTGAGTCATCTTGTAGCAACAGTTTAAAATCTATGGATAATAAGAAGAATGATGCTGAAACTAAATCAGGTCCTATGTAAGTATACAAATTGTACAATACATATTTATATAAATATTTATATTTTTATGTAAATTATATATTTTAAGTCATATTTTATATCATTTTATGATTTATGTAATATGGCTATATGAGATTCATATAATATGTATTAATTAATTAAAAGAGGAAGAGAGAGAGAGAGAGAGAGAGAGAGAGAGAGAGAGAGAGAGAGAGAGAGAGAGAGAGAGAGAGCGAGAGAGAGAGAGAGAGAGAGAGAGAGAGAGGAGAGAAGAGAGAGAGAGAGAGAGAGAGAGAGAGAGAGAGAGAGAGAGAGAGACTTCTTTTTAATACAGTCTTTTTTATATTATTAGGTATTCAAATACAGTTATTTTGAAAGACACCTCTAGTGATAATTCTTCTGTTATTCAAGATCAATTAACAATTATAAAAGATACGGATGATGAAACAAGGTTTGAAACAGATGAAAAGAATACAGTTACTACTGATAATATGGAATGTACTTCAGTGAGAAAAGGTAGAAAAAAATTATTACCACTTAATGACAATTCTCAGTTGTGTTCATTTACTCCAGTAGAGAAGGATAAATGCATAGTTGAGGAATCGATATCTCCATCTACATCTACAAAGAAAAACAAAAAACTAACAAAAAAACGTCGAAAGAGAAAATTAATGGGTTTCATGAATGATACAAGTTCTATTAAACGTAATATCTCGCACGAACAAACATGGTCAGATAATGATTGCAAGATATCTAAAAAGAAGAAAAAGGATAAAAAAATACAAAAACCGAGGAAGGTCATTAGCAAGAAAATCATCATTAAGAAATTTGCCGACGAGAGCATGTTGAAGGATATATTAAAGGAAAATAGACAACAAAATAAAGAAGATGAATCGATAGAAAATAGAGATTCCTTAAATGATTTTACAAAACATCGCACAATACCTACTCAGCGGAATACATATAAGTCTAAAAAAATCGTTATTGTAACAACTGGTTTATCAAAAGGGTAATAATAAGAAATTCTTTTAAAACATTTCTTTGCTATAAATTGAAACAATTTTTGGTGTTATTTCACAAATGATTTTATAATAAAATTGCAATACACTTTATATATATAGGGATAGAAGTTTAGTGAAGAGTATCGTCAAGTCTCTTGGCAAAGCAGAAATCGAAATGACTGTATCGAAACGAACGACTCATGTTGTGAGTACAGGTGTGCGTACAGTGAATCTGCTTCGAGGGATAATAAGAGGTTGCTGGTTGATCAACTTGGAATGGGTTTTGAAATCCTTGGAGAACAATGACTGGTTAGATCCTGAAGAGTTTGAAATGAAACATTTCTCTAAAGCCGTGCAGGTAAGATGTATGAATTCGCGATGTGTATTCGCATATCGTATAACATATATGTATTTTTCAGGAAAATCGGAAAGACAAACAATTATTTGGATTTTCGTACATCCCCGAATTGTTTGCAACATGTGGATTAATACATGTCGAGCCTAAAACTACAGTGCCGTGCCAAACTCTTAAAGAACTTGTAAAAACCGCAGGCGGACATATCACCGAGAATATTAAACTTGCTAAAATTATTATTGGTATAAATGGTCTAAAGGAGACCTGGATTATAGATTCTATCACGACTGGTGAATTACAATTAACTAAGCTTTATCAAAGAAAATAAGGAGAACAAGCAAAAGTATAAGTATAGCTTTTCTCATGATCTTGTAATGTAAAATATACAATTTATACGGTTATTTATTATAATACAAAAGACAACTGTATATTCAATAATTTTTTGTACAATTATTCATGAATCATGATAAAGTATTAATAATATATAAAAAATATTGTACAATATAAGAAATTTTTGTGAAAAATTATATTCACTATTATTTAATTTAATTTGTTAGAATATGTGCTTAGTTTATATCTTGTCCTAATATATTTTTTGTTTATTGTCACAATATTGTGATTATAATAAAAATAAAAAAATATTTAAAACTAAATTGTACATTTTTTGCTAATAAAAAGAACACTTTACTATTTTATTATCATATCACCTGTTACGTGCAAAGAACGTAAAACGGGTTTGCTCATTCTTTATTTTGAAAATTACGTGATATAAAGCAATAAATACCTTTCCGTTGAGTCAACTAAAATACTAAAGCGTATCTATGCCTCTTGTTTCCTCCAACATGTGTGTGTATTGTTTTTCATGTATGTGTGTAAATATATATATATATATATATACATATGTGGTGCATACATTATTTTATATTAAATTTATAAAGAATGCCTTTGATTCTGAAGAAAGTTATTCAGCACAGATATAATCTAGACTTTTGACTTTCACAATATTTGGTTTCACAATATTGTTTTCCTCTTCCCCTCTTCTCCATTTTTTGCCTTTTACAAACTCGAGCATTTTTGATTATCTATTTTTTTAGGTCAGGTTAGGCTAGGTTACTTTCGCGGAGCGAAAACTTGCGCGTCTGCGAGTGACAGCAACCCAGTATGACCCAGCCATACGATGTGTCAAACTGACACACGTTCGCTAACATGCTCCTTCGTATTTGTTTAACGGAATACTGATACTTCGCGTGTCTCTCACGATCGACCATGGATTACTATTCCGAAAAGTAAGTGACAGTGATTGATCGCGTGTGATTTTTTGACATATTGCTTAATTGCGTGACGATTTTCCGAAATTTTTGCACAGCTGTTCTTATCGCTATTGTTATCTTTCGCATTGTTCGATCTCGCGAGCTCGTCGTTTTGACATTTCGACAAAATTTCTCGAGAACAATACTATATTTTTAAAATATATGATTTGAATGGTTAGATTCTGTCATACTTTCTTTCCGAAATGTCGGAGTCTCTAACGTGTATTTCCAGCTGTATTATATGTTTGTTTATCGAAGCGTATAATCTATGAGCACATATGTGCAAATGTATTCTAATAAGATATATTCGCACCATTCGTGCCTTTTTCGAGACTAATGATATTCGAGTAATCTCTTTCAGCGTATAAATAAAATTATAATGTAGTAATTGTGTTCCCAATTATGAGAATTTTGTAGAATTCAATATATTTTTACTCATACTATATAGTATATTACTTGTTAGAACATATAGTAATATATAATATTGTTTGCTTTACATTTACAGCACATCTATTAGTGATACTCCATACCCAGATACATGCATTTCGTTTCCCCGATATAATAGAACCATAATCACAGATGTATATGCAGGAATACCTGAGAACTTGTTGCTAAATGTAATAGGATTTCTGGTAAGACTTTTGCTTGATTTGTTGAAATATATATACATATAGAAATGACAATTAGTCAATGACTTGTATGAATAAAAGATAATATATGACATATATTAAACTGATATCTAACATACTGTGTTATCAAAGTTTTTAGTTACTTTATTTGGTCTATTACGTAAAAAGGCTTGGAATTATGGACGCCTTGCATTATTACATAAGTCTGATAATAGATGGATGGAGCTGTTTTATGGTGTTAATGAAAATAGAGACACCGATCCCTTATGTATAGAAGCTTCTGTCAATTCTCAACTCTCCCAATTGGATAGAGGATTTCTCTCGTGGATTGTTACTGCTTTTAAGATTACGTTAGTATACTCAGTATAATCTAAAATAGATTTTAATTCATGTATTAATTGTTTCAGAATATATATCTTTAACATAATTTATATAAAATCCTCTTACATTTGCAGTGACAATGAATTATTACAACGCGCAGGCCCTGATGGATTATTGTATATTTTATTTGAGCGGTGCTTAATCATATTGACCATCATGATGCTTGTTGTATCATTGTGTATAGCTTTGCCCATTAATTTTCATGGGACCATGCAACCAGGAGACAGTGCGACATTTAGTCATACGACATTATCAAATTTAGATCCCACTTCCAACTGGATTTGGGTGCACACAATATTACTCTTATCTTATCTGCCAGTTGGTGGATTTATTATGAGACGTTGTTTGAAGCAGGTATCAGTTATTATCTCAAATTTATTTAGTCACTCTATTGTAATATAAAACGCTTTGTTCTTTATATAGTATTATATTCTTTATATAATGTGCTCTTTATATAATCATATCAAAAAATATGATGATAAAAAAATTAAATATTATGACATTTATATTTTATCATATGTACATATATGTATATGTGTATATATTTATCAGAATTTTTATATGTGAATACAGGTGCGAGATACTAGACCTAGTGGAGAACTTGCAGCTAGAACATTATTGATTACAGATATACCAAAACATCAATGTAGTGTTGAAAATCTTACAGAATATTTAAAGTATGTATATATGCATAGAAAAGAAAGCTTTCTTGCATCATATATAAATGTACTTTTAATGTACTTGTTGCTGACATTATTAAAGTCGACAATTCTTTCAGGGAAGCATTTCCCACTTTAACAGTAGAAGACATTACATTAGCTCATGATATACAGCATCTTTCAAATTTGGATGCAGAAAGAGATTGCGCGGAACAGGCGCGTTTATATTGTGAGAATTATGCTAAAAAGAGAGAACCTTTGAAAATGTATCCTCATCCATGTGGTCAAATTCTTGGAGCTTGCTGCAAGAAAAAGGTAAATGTATCAAAATTACATAAATGTATAGAATCAATCACTTTATTATGTATAATCGTGAATACATAGACACAAATTATTATTTTTAACTATTGAAAGAATTTGAATTTGCAGCAAGTAGATGCTCAAGAATTCTACACCAATGAGGAAATACGATTAACAGCATTAGTTGAAGAAGAGAAGAATGTGGCACTTAGTAAACCTCTTGGAGTAGCTTTTGTAACTTTAGGTATTTCATTGTTATACATTTAATATCTATATATACATGTGTGTTTAGTTTATAATAAGAATGACAAAATTTATGATAAATATAATTAATAGGAACACCTGGTGCAGCTAAAACTATGCGTAAACAGCTCCGGTCCTCATCGAATGTAAAATGGATTGTGGATTATGCTCCCACGCCATCAGATATATTTTGGGAAAATCTGAGTATTCCAAGGCCGTGCTGGTATCTAAATGCTGTATTAATAAATTTTGCTTTGGGATTAATATTATTTTTCCTTACTACACCAGCTGTAAGTCAATTTTTTCAGCAAAAGCATATTTTACTATAAAAACTATATATAATTATATATTATATATATATATTTTTAAATTTTAGGTTGTAGTAACAAATGTCAATAAATTACCAATTACCGGAGAGATTATGAATTTAAGCCCAGTGGTTTCATCCTTTCTGCCTACCGTACTCTTAATCAGTGTAGCTGCTCTAATGCCAGCACTGGTCGCGAGGAGTGAATCGCTCGTAAGACATTGGACTAGGAGCAGCTTGAATCGTACTGTTATGAGAAAAACGTTGTTACTTTTGTTGCTGATGGTGCTTATATTACCTAGTTTAGGATTAACCAGTGCAGAAGCATTTCTAGAATGGACTTTAAAGGATCGAAATAACACAGCAAAATGGGAATGTGTATTTTTGCCAGATCAGGTGAGAGGAAAGAGTAATATTTGTGTCCACACTTTTCATAAGTTAAAAAAATTACTATAATATAAATATAAGTAATTAAATAATATTAATATAAGTAGAATTTTTTGTTACTCTAATATTTATGTCACACAAATCTGATAGGATATAAAATTTGTAGGGTGCATTTTTTGTAAATTATGTTATAACTGCTGCCTTGCTCGGGAGCGGATTAGAATTGGTCAGATTCCCAGAATTAGCGTTGTACACCTTCAGACTCTGCATAGCTCGCAGTCGTGCGGAAAGGATACATGTTAGAAAAGCAGTTCTGTGGGAGTTTCCACTGGGAGCGCATTACGCGTGGTTGCTCCTAGTCTTTACTATGACAACCGTCTATAGTCTGGCGTGTCCGTTAATAACTCCCTTTGGTCTACTCTATCTTGTACTTAAACACTTGGTATGTTTCATTCGATACCTTACAATAACTTTGTCATTCTTATGTTTTGGATATGTATATTTATAAAAAAATCTTATCTCTTGACGAATAGGTGGACAGGCATAATTTATGCTTCGCTTATGGACCAAGCATCGGTGGTGGTCAACTGGCTGGAGCTGCAGTTGGTGCTGCAGGAGCTGCGCCAGTTTTAGCGCAAGCTGCTCTTTTGGCCTTAGGCCTGGTGCGAAGAGGTTTGTCTCCTTTAGCTGCGGTGCAACTCAGTGGTCTCTGTGCGACTATTTTGGGTCTGGTAACCGGTGCTGCATTGCCGTCATCGAAATCTAAGGTATTATACATATATGATTATTAAGATATAAGGTAAAAGTACCTATGTTTAGACCTATGCATGCACCTATATACCTGGACATTTGTATTTTTTTAATTTTTAAATACAAATATCTAAACTTTTAATATGGAATGTATATATGTATATTAAATATACGTACATATATTCATGACTGAAAGTTTAGATATCCGTATTTAAAGATAAAAAAAAAAAATATATATATATATATATATATATATATATGTGCATGTCTAAACATTATTAGTATTTTTACCTTACTTAAATATTAAGTTATTAAATTATTATAATACATAGATTATGTAATATATTAATATAACAAAATATATAATCATAATATATATAACTTATGAATAGTTTTGGGAGGATTTTGTTGAATATTTCGTCAAATCTACATACACAATTTGAAAAAAAAACTATTTAAATTTAAATCTTAACATTTTACATAATATATTTTACAATCAATACATATAAAAATAATAAACAAACTATAAACCAGATAGAAAGTAAACAAAATTAAAAATGGGATCTTTTTTGTACATATTAATTATTTAGGATATTTAATTTAATTATTGATCAATTTCATTATAGACACAAGCACCGAAAAGGGACCTCTCGACCGGTCAAAATTTCGTCGCACCAGTATTGCGAAAGAATATAATAGCTTTAGAGGAAACTATATCTAGTGCCTCGAACTCGGAAGCGAATTTACCAAGTCCGAGAAGTACCACTTCCTCTGTACAAGAAAGTCCAAAACTTTACCAAAATTATGGCGGTGAGCAAAGAGTTTAATATTTATATCATGTCTTGAAATATAAATAAATACATAAATAAATAAATAAATATACATATATATATATATATATATATATATATATATATATATATATACATATATATATATATACATATACAGAATGCTCCGTAATTTAAGAAGTTATACATATTATTCTAATTATTAATATATTAATGATTTGCAAGCTAGAGAACTATAGCACAAATAATGTACATTTTAAAGTTTCTTATATAGAGCTATCACATTAACACAAGTTAGTATAATTTATTATAATTATAATTGATTTAGAAAAATTGCAAAATATAATTATTTTAGGATTATTCTTCACCTTTATATTTTGTCATTTATAATATATATACATTCTTATACTCTTTCATTTATAATTATTATATTTATAATTATATTTTTAAATCTTTTATTATCATATGCTTAACAGTTTGTCATAAAAAAAGTATGAAAAATGATATTATATATTTAATACTCATATAAACTTGTGTAAAATAAAGCCTTATTAACAGTATATCACAAAATCGCTATTTAAAGAATCTCACAGAGAAAAACAGGCAGAATTATTTTATCATTTCAAATTTAGCAGCATAATATAACATAAAATGTCTATTATATCAATTTATTATTTTAATATTATACTCTGTATTATATTAGTATTAACACATAATATTGCTATGTAATAACACTTTAAACGAGTAAGCTTACAATTATATACACATTTTACATGGAAGTAGTTTTTAATCAATAAGGTGCAATTTTTTCGATTTTTAATTTTATAAATAATGTTGATATTTTCACAAGAAAATTCGAAATAATCTTTACAACAGTATGTACATATCATTATCTAATTCACATTTTGCGATAATAAGCATATAGTTTTTAATAATTTAGCAGATTTTATATCAACTATTAAATGGCTAAGCAGGATGTTTTATTTTTATTGTGAGAATATAATATATAAAATCCTATAATGTTTACTTATTGCTTGTTCTGTTTATATAGAAGCATGATACATGTTACAATTATACATATATATGTATAATAAATTTTTTGGCGTATACATATACAAATTTTAGGAACTTATAATTTAACACACATCGACTTGGCTTGATTAATTTACATTTTTTTGATTTTCTCAAAATCTCAAAATGTTTTTATCAAGTGTTTCTCGAAGTTTTTTCCGAAAGTTTTCTCTTGATAAATAATTAGCAACATGTATCTGTATAATTTCTTAAAAATTACAAAGTTTCACGATTCTGATAAATAATCTATCTCATTCGTAACTATTATTTCTACACATTTAACATAAAAACTTAAGAATGTATAGCTTATTTTATATATGTTATTTCGATAAATTAAAAATGTCACTATGTCGTTACTTTATCGAATAACTAAAAGTCAAATATTAAATAAAAATCAATGCATTTCCTTGTATATAAATTACTTATTAGAAACTAATTACTCCTCTTCTCGCAAAAACATTCTCATTATCTTACAAAGACGAAACATTTCACAAAATGTGAGGCAGTGGAAATATTTATTGCAAAATCTGAAGAGTTAATAAAAAATAATAAATATGATTGGATTTGAAATTTATTATTTTTCCTCTCTTTTTTTTTCAGTAAGGCACTAGTCATGTAAAATTTTACTATATAATTATATGTTCTCTATATACATTCTATATATCATTAAAAATGTAAAATTATCAAATATTTTTCGAGATTGTATATTACCCAGATTCTTTACTCAGTTTTTAATATCTTACATAATTATATATATATATATATATATATATATATATATATATATATATATATATGCATCACTATATATATATATAATTATAATAAAACAATAATTATAATATACATATAGAGTTTGTATATGTGCATATAATTATATTAAACAATATTGGAACATATTGTTATACATATATTAAAGAACGAGAGAATTAATTTTTACTATAATGAATAATGAAATATTATAGAATGAGAAGATTTTTATTCACACAAGCTAGCGCCAATTATGGCTTCCAACTGACTAGATGTAAGATTATTTAACTCCTTCACTTGACTTTCTTCCCGTTGCAATTTATCAAATGTATTTTTCTTCATTATCCTTGAACTTTTATCACATGACATAAAATTAGTCTTGAGATAGCTTTCTTCTTCTTCTTTTTGAGATTCTTCGCTCTCTTCACTGCTTAGCTGAACCTGCGAGGCACATTATTGTTTAAAACAATCTTTACAAAAACATTTAAGATTTACCACTTGACTAATATTCGCGATCAGATATAGTATCTGAATGCGAAATTAGTATATTAACATAGAATAAACATTTTAAAGAATTAAACATTACTCATCACGTTACCATTTTGAAATTAAAAAGAAAATAATAAACTTATTTTTTACCAAATATATAAAAATTCATTTACAACTATTATATAATAAATCATATCTACAATATTTAATGTGAAAATACATGTTTATTTGCAAGTATAAAATTAAATAAAAAACTTTTTAATCAAATGTCACATTATTGCCAATTTGAAGGAGTAGGGATGGGAACAATGAAAAATAATTAAAAATAAAAGAATTCAGGTATCTTTTGTTTTTCTTGTTTTTTTCAAAACATATGTCCTATTTTCTAATTTTACAGTATAATTTTCATTATGTTACAACATTATAACAATAATCGTTGCTTTTGTTATATATAGAATAGCCGCGATATTTATAAGTAAAAATTTTGATATATTTTATAACGCACAACTGAAAAGTAATGTATAAAAGAATACCTTATCCTTCATTATGCATTCTTTACATTACCAATTGTGACTTTTATATTCAGATTATAATTTAAATTTATTATAATAATTTTATATTTTTGAAAATTAATTTAATATAAAATTAAGTGGTTCTTTTGGTAAATTACAAACGCATTCGCTTGTTTATTTTTATCTAGCCTCTATCTAAACACTTTACTTTCAAGGATTGTGTCACAAATTTTTCTCTTTCATGCTCTACCACCACCAAAGTAATATGTAACCAACTCAATTGTGCGCAAATAATACAAAGATGTACAAATTAAGGATATAAAACGCTAATTGCATTATAAATGCACGAAATATCTCTATGCTAAACTGTATGGATACGCAAAATAAGATTTGCGAGACATCTATTACAGCGATTTTTACTAACGACACAAATAAAGGGCAAGGTTCATCTCACCTCTACGATAGAAACTCTTGGTGATGGTTCACGCGTCGTAATTTTTTCCATTACAATCGGACTATCGGAACTCGTCGATAAGTACTCTTTATCTGTCTCGTTATCATTATCTGAATATTCTTTCTCGTCTTCGATAGGCTTCTGTACATCCGCGTTTTCGTGTAACTTACATACGACGCCACCCTTCTCGCTGTCTCGTTCGAATAAATTACCACCCAAATGAACTAAAGCATAAGCAATAATTATATATATTAATATTAATTTTTGCAATGCATACAATATTATAAATTATATTATGCATACAAAGTGTCCTTTTAACAATATCTTTTTTAACCGATTTGAGAAATTGTTTTTTTCAGCGAAAATATCTATCGAATGTGAATTATTTATTTTTTTAATTTTTTACGTATATTTTACAACACAACAGCAACTAAATTTGAAATTAAAGTTTTTGTTAAAGTTTTACTAAAATCCATTGAAAATTTACTGAAAAAATGCTTGTCCTTTTTTATATAAGTTAGTTGTTTAAAAATTATTAAATCTAAATGTATCGATATTGAGAAAAAATTGATTTCAAATTAGTCAAGTCAATAAATAAAAAGATACTGCTGATCTTGGGACATTCTATGTGTGCCGTGAATATGCGTTAACATTATTTTCAGACTACCTTGACAGAAGGCAGTGCTGCAGAAGGAACAGTGCGCTGATGTTCGACGTCCGCATTCTAAGCAATGATGCCAAGGGCAACTGAATTTCGATTCCGCGTCATCGACTTCAACGCACGTTGTGTGATACTTTTTGTTGCAAGTTCTTTGCGAGCAGACTATGGAATTGTTCCGATCTGATATTTCTTGCCCGCATCGCCAACACATAAACTTTCTTGGTCTAGAATAAAATCAACGAAATCAGTGACATATTGTTTAATAAGAAATACAATGATGAGACGATAAAGGATAAGGTGTGCAACATGTACCTTCTATATCGTTTCGATTTATTCATTTTCTTCGATTGCAACTGTTGTTTTTGCGTTTGCGCCTTCAAACCGATGAAGCCGCTACAATTCGGTGCACCGCAAAGACAGACCTTCCGCGTTTCCCCGTCAGATGCTAAATTGTAATTGAACGTCAGTTCTTCACCGGATTCTATGTCACGCAAAGCAAATAGTCCGATACGCGTGTCTCCGTTCACCGTCCACTTTTGCGTTTCGCAGTTTGGCGCACACGAATGATCTATAAATAATAGCACAATTATTATTTCGGAGGATTATCACGTTTACATACATATACTTCAGGATATTTATCCGTAAACTATATTGTATATATATAGTCTATGGGTAAACAATGTAAATTATGATAAGAATATTAAGATTATTAGATCGGCTCTCTTTATTTAATATAAAACACGATATACAACTCCTTCTTCACGGCCATAGAGCCAAACGTGATATTATTGCGAAATTACTTTCGGACCAATATTTTTCTCGCCTATTTTCTTACAGGGGAATTTAAAAGAGGAACAAGGAGAGTTTTTGAGATCTCAACCACAGGATACGAAATTCCCAGATTCCTCATATTTCTTAATTTCGCAATAACATCGCGTTTGGCTGTATGGTCGTGAAGAAGTTGTATATCGTGTTTTATATTAATGTAAATTATATATATGTCATTTATGATCAACAATGAGTAATTCTGTTTGGTTTTTTATATTTTTTATGCTTTAAATAGATTTCTTAATTTTTTATATCATAAATATCTTCTTAATTGATACTAAAATTATACAGAAATAGATTAACTATCATAATGTACTTTTTTTAAATTGACATTTAATTTATAAAGCTTATATAGTTTACTTTGTCTGCAAAAAGTTCATGTAAACATTATGTAGACAATATGTAAAAACAATTCATGTAAACACAATTTTGAAATCTACGGCACAACCCTGATATACTCACTCATAAATCGGCTGAGATTTCCCTTCGGTTCCGCATCGATTATTCGATTATTGTCGATCGTTAAGAAGTAAAAATCATCATTCTTCAGTTCTTTTTTTAGATTCAATCTACGCTTATACTCGGCCTCATCTATAACTTCTCCCACGTATTCGATGACAAACTGTCCTGCTTTGATATCCTCTAAAGCTTTCAGACCCCATCCGCGGCCTGTGGTGTGGAACGGCTCCATTACCGGATACTGTCGTAGCACGAACGATTGATTCATGCATTTGGTTCCAGCTGGGCAGATTCCAGGACTGCATTCCACCAACAGTATGCGATTCAAACAATCTGTACCCGGTGCACAAGGATTATCCCAATCGGAATCGCACTCACACGCCACGATGCTCTCGACTTCGGTCGGCTTGACGTTACCCACTGGTTTATTGACCTGTCATACACCTATTTTCATTAAGACTTCCAGCACTTTACTGTAGTATATTTTATCAGATTACAAGTTAATAGCAAATTAATAATACATTCTACGCACATTTATACGTGTCATTTATTAACTCTATTTTATCAAAATCTAAAAATTTTAAATTTAAAAAATTATATCTATGTAAATATAAAATCTGGTATAAACCGTACTTTTAATTTTACATATAAAGGTGGTTTCAATGCTTTCGATTGTTCCTTAGTCGTGGACCGCTCTGTTTTTAATTGTTGATGTACTTTATTAGCTTCTTCTAGAGCTTTTCGATATGCATCATCCATTACGGTCTTTTTATTCATAGATGGTTTTATATTTGCGTCACCATCTTGATATAAAAAGACTCGACCTCTGAAAAAGACGATCAAATTAGCAAAAAATGGATATTTATTGAATTGATGAAGATATATAGATTTCGTATATAAAAAAAAAATAATATTTCTATTTACCTATGCACCCAATAATAATCATTAGACCCCAAAAACATTACGCAAAATTTACCAGGACTGTGAGCTCTAGTCTCTACATTTTCAGGAATTTCCTGCGGGTAGCATATACGCGACGGCCACCATCGATAATTACCGAGTTTCACCCACACAACTTCTCCATACAAAGGCAGTCTCCCAGTCTCACAATCTTCACAAATAAATCCACCGTCAGGTGCATCTATACCTAAATTTATATCGATGCAAGAATAATTTATTATTGCACGTATATTAACCAAATAAGTGTGTAAAAATTTAATTTTATGAAAATTTACCAAGACATTCCACATGAAAGGAAGTCGGACACGTGTCGCAACAAATGAGACTTCCGCCACGCGTACACAGAAAGCACCATGCCGCATTCAACGGAGGATGTTTTGAGAGATAATGCTTCGGGCATACAATTTGACTACCTGTGAGAATTGTTGAACCAGCAGGTAGACACAATGCAGAAGTGTGATAAGATGAAGGGCAACGTACGCATCTCGCCATTTTCTCGGTCGGTGCACGCGAATGATTATCCTGAGGATTATCGGAACTGCATGTGTGACACACATGGTACGGACATGTCAAACGTGCACCATTCCAATGCGACTGAGCAAAATGCAAATGTTCATCATTGTTAAAAAAATTATACATATTTCAGAAAATATGGTATGGAATATATAGAAATTTATTATTAAATTATTTAAAAAATTATATATATTTCAGAAAATATACTTGAGTAAAATGCAACATTTTCATACCTGAGGCCATGAGTTTAAACACTTAGAATGATAATGCTTCCCACAGACTGGTACAATGCACCTTATTCTGTCTCCTTCTCTTTCATTGCATATGAAACAAGCGGGTGCTACTCCAGATAGGCAATCGATACATTTAAACATTTCATCTTCTTGCTCTTCGTTTTTACCTGAATTAAATTAATTAACTGTCAATATATATCGCATATGATAATATATCAGATTGATCAGAAAAATCATTCGTCTTATTAGTAAAAGTTGTGTAAAAAATTTTTTGACCAATCTAAAAATAAATTACATTTTATTATTATAATTACCATTATTTTCAGATTCGCTATTAATACTTTTCCTAATTATATCTAAATCGTCAAGTATTCTATCGTCCGATATGTTCTCGTCAACAGAGTGCTCTGGACTAGATTCGCCAGGTTTCACACAGGACAAATGAAAATAAGAATAACAAGGTCCTTTACATCTCGTTAATTTGCCCGTTTTCTCGCAAATCTGACAAACTTTCTCTTGTTTCATACCTCTAAAGAGATTGTGTGGTTTACCACGTTTAGAACTTTCTGAAACGGAACTCTCTTCTTTGTCAATCTTACTTTTCTTTCTACTTTCTTTCGTACTTGTGTCAATCTCGGCTGATGTCTCGAGGTCTTCGTTATCCGGTGAACTTTCTTTCGAACGCGAACTCTCACGAGTCATATATGATCGGTACTTTTTTCGAAAAGTTGTGTCCATACCATCCCAAGTTTTACGCAAATATTTTTTAATATCGTTTTCCGACGCGTTTGGATATTCGTCCTCTAGTAAATCTCTATTTCGTTCGTAATAAACTTCAAATACGCCAGTTTCGTCCTCCTCACTCTTGTCGACTTTTGTGTTGGTATTGTCGTGAGAACTTTTATGGCTCGAAGGAGACGAGGGTAAAGAGTCCAAATTCAATTTCAAATCGATTTTACCATTTACGCTTCGCGAATTTTTCGATTTTGCTATCTCTGATTTATTCAATTTTGATACTTCCAATTTTTCTGTATTATTTACCTGTAAATATATTAAAAGTAAAAATATGGTTTTATATGTAACAAGTACAAGATCGAATTTATATTATATTATGTGTAAACAATTTTTAATATTACATTATCCTGTTTAGCGCGCTTAGCATCAGGTCCATCCTGATCAGTTGAATATTTTCTCTTATTATTTTTCTTTTCGGTAGATGACTTTGCATCTTTGGAACGTTTAATTTTTGGCGCAAAAGTTTCGGCTCTGTCTTCAATTGTCATTGGTTGCACTTTCATAGCTTCATCGACGGCGTTTTCCCATTTTGATTTCATTCCCGGTTTCACAATAAAAGCGGCAGCTCTTGCATCCTTCTTCTTTGTTTCCGCAGTCAATGATTCCGATAGCTTTATAAAGTCATCAAGATTTGTGAATTGCATCATACTATTTGCCGAAACCCAACTATGTCGTCCTTTGTCTCCAAAGTATTGAACATGTATCATTAAAATATTTGCCCTGGATGTAACTGTGCCAAGAAGAAAGAAAAATAGTAAAGTTTGTTCAACAATTTATATGCCTACCAATAAATTTTCTTTTTAACAACCTAAATCTGTAACTGATATTCAATAAAAGTATAATTTAATTTATATAATTAATTCATGTACTTCTGCAACATTTTTTTTCCAAATGTGTTTTCTATAATTTAAGAATTAATGAAATGTATATATCAAGATTATAGAAACATACCTCTCAATTTGTGATATATTAATGTAAGTGGATCGAGTGTTACAACACAAGGCCAATATGGGAAACTGCCAACTTTGGCCCATGCTAATTGTCCTACTACCCATTTACATTCAATAGTAGGACTTATTACTTTTGAAGATGGGTCCTCCTCTGTGTTACTTGAAATGATAGAAGAGCTATTGGCTTCATCTATGATGTTAGTTGTATTAATTTCATCTATATTTTCACTATTATTACTATTATTCATAGAACTATGTTGTTTACGTGTCTTTGAAATCTTCAAATTCTATAACATATAATGAATATATATATTATTGTATAATTACAAATAATTAAAAAAAGTAATATTTTTATGTTTGTAGTAAACATGTAAAATGTATTAAAAAAATAGTAAGTGCATAAATATTAAATTACAGATTTAAATACATGTTCCATACATAAATATTATACATGTGTATAAATCATACATTTTTTTTGGATTTTTTGTCTGATGCAAGAATTATGTATATATTCATATATATATATATATATATATATATATACATGGAAATTGACCATGTTATACAAATGCTTTGAATATACAAAGGCATAAATAGCGCAGCGTGCATACCTGTAATGAATTGGCAGCATCATTCATGGAAGATTTAGGTCTAATTATTCTACCGTAACGGCTCCTGGTAGACGGGGTGCCATTGTCATTATCGTATAAGCCCTCTTGGTCGTTACATGCATCTTCGTTCGAAACTCCAACAGTCTCACCGGACTCGGCTGCAGGAGCCTTGATGGCCTCCACTTGGCTCATGCTATTCATAACTGTATCATCAATGTGACATTTTCGAATTGCTACAAGCTGAGTGTCACAAAACGTGGAAGTGCATCGGATTCCTCAACGACGCTTACCCACGCGAGTCATGGAAAGCCAGTGGTAGAGACTCACGCGTTGAAAACAATCTTCACCACCGCTGGGTTCTAGGGCATCAGACTATCAGACCTCCAAGTGTCGAGGGTTACTCTCTTTTTTACGAAAGGCTGCGCCTACCTCGTCCGGAGTATGGTCCTTAGCTTCTGCACTGCTGGAACCACCATGTAATCCTAATTTCGGTCCTCTACCTTGTCCCAATTATTGTGATAATAATGAATTGCAAACGAACCTCGCAGAGGTCCATGAAGCGGTGAATGCGTTTCCCGCGATTTTCAGCGATCCACACGGTCGCGTTGTCGTTCATCTCACTAGATTGATAAAGTCACGTACTTCTTTTACCAAGTAGATTTAAAAATCTCCTCACTTTCTCTTCTTGAAGCGTAAAAAAAGTTTATTACATATTTTATTTGTAACACGAAATATTCTTTAATATATTATTATTATATATATTGTCATTATATATTATTATGATTATTATTATATACAATATTATTATGTATTATTATATTATTATATATATTATTATATCTAAATATTATGTATTATTATTATATTATTATATATATTATTATATCTAATTATTATGTATTATTATTATATTATTATTCCAATATGTTATTATAACATTATTAGACCTATTCGATTTTCGTGAATTTTTCGTTTCTCCTACGTGAATATTTCTCTTCCAATAATACTAGGCGTTACTGGGAGTCACTAGATACCTGCTATTTTCAAGAAACTTGAAGATGCGTTCAAAAATCCGTCCGTCAAAGTCCAGAATTTGATCGACCAATCGGAGTCGAGAATCTCTTTGCCCTGATTGGTCAATCGAGCGCTTCACGTTGAATACATTCTCGAACATAATCTAGAATGTTGCTGCTCTCTATTGCACTTTCGAGTTGTTCGTGGTTAAATTTGCGCGGCTCATCTGTGCCGGTCCACGAAAGTGCGAGCGTTAAATATATTTAATTAGTATCTTTACGTCGTTAATTATCCGTCGTATAAATCTGATCGCGTAGCGTGCACCGACATTAGGATCGCGATTACACGTAGAAAACTCCCGCGCGTAGTAATACATGAAATCGGCCGATTTTGACGTGACGTCACGACTCACTACGTACTTCAGGCAGCGCCGCCACCGATCAGTCCGAATCCAGCCGCGGAGGAGTAGAGTGTGCGTCGCGAGTGCTCCGCGTCTCGTCTGGATTTCATGCGCGAGCAACGCGAATAAACGGGAGTGCAAGTCCGGGAGTGTGTCGTGTTTCGTGATGGACCGAATAATCTTCTCAAAGAGCATCCGGGCGTTGACAGGGAGTCTCGGAGAATCGCGAGAATTGATGGGTGGGGGGCAGGGGGAAGGACGTTCCGCCGTGATTTTTGCGCGTATTTCGGTGCTATTCGCCCGCCAGAGAGCTTCGCGAGTGTTCTTTATCGCCGCGAAGAGTATCTCGGCGTCGACAAATGTCCAGAGGTCTAGAGGAATTAGTCAGTTAGAGGGGCAGGAGGAGAGGGACTATCGCTTAAGATATTGTTTTCGTTTGTATTTTGATATGTACAGTGACTCTCGTGCGGTATTTCGACATTGTCCGCTTGACGAGGAGTTCCGCGAATGCTCGAGCATCTCCAGGAGTGCCCGAGTATCGGAGAAAGTGTCCGAGAAGCGCGCGAATTCATCAAAGTCGGCGATTCAAATTGTGGGCGAGTGAAGGCTGTTGCTTGAGATACTGAGCTACCGAGACTATCCGGTCGGTGGAGCGCAAGTGTCGCTCCGTTGAATTCCGCTCACTTCGCGATGTCACGGAAAGACGCGGCGCGCCGGGAGATGGCAGTGCGATGTCACGAATTAATTTAAGGGCATTTCGATGCGTTTAATGTGATTAATATTCGGACGCTCGTTTACCCGGAATCGGAAAAGTATATTTTTTCAACAGATATTTTGTTCGTATTTTTATTCGCGAATGCGATATCGAACGTGATCGAAAGTGCCGAATACATTCGCGAGTGGTCTTATTTTTTTGTATCGTCCGTTTATTTCGAAGTGCATCTGTGTGTAGTGAAGTGCGGTAAATAATTATTGCAAATATAAAAGAAAACAGTGCAGTGATCAGTGCCAAACCATATGGGATTATAGCAGAGTAGCAGTGGAACATTAAAGCGGATATATTAAAGCAGAGAGGTGTAGATAATCGACTCAACGCAATGTAAGTTCATTTTTTGTTTATGTTACATTGTTCGGAAAATAATACGATTGATTGTTATTAGGAATGTAATAAAAAATTATATTGCGTTTCCATATTTATAATTTAGAAATAGAAAAAAAATTATGACATAAAATAGCTGCAACTATTTATTTAAAGAGCGAATGGAAATAAAAGTGTTTTAAATTTGGCTCATGTAGGTTAACAATATTTATGCTACCGGTGCACTTGATGTGGCTATTAAAATGTTCTGTTTCTCTATAATTATATATCATACCTCTTATTGAGGTTCCTAAAATAATTTATGGATGCAGATTACACGTAATCAAAACAATATTTGAAATATAAGATGTGCAGCATTGTTGCTATAAGAATATTTAAATTAGAAAATAGTATATATATATTCATTATTTTATAATCCGAATTAAATTTTCAAAATTATTTATACATTATAAAATAGAAAAATTATTTATTTTATCTATTTAAAAAATGAAATTAAAAAAATACAAAAATTTTCAGAGAAAATTTTGAGAATTGTTGTTCTAGTTATAACTTAAATATGATGAGAAATAAGTATGATTCTTATGATCGCAATATATTATATTGTATAGTATACCTAATAGTATAATTATCAGATATAATATATGGAATGATTATGAAGTATTCTTAGAATTAATTTATTATTTTTATAATATTATATAAATTGTGTTTCTTTTTAATATGATATATGCGTATAATAAGAATTGTAAAAATTTTTAACTAATTCAATAATGATACGATTTAAACTAAACTTAACACCCGACTTTTTAAAATTAATTTTTTATACAGAAAATGATAGCATTTCATTTGTAATGGTATGTAGTAACAATAATTTTGTTTGTAATTACATCAATTAAAAAATTAAAAATTAGAAAAATGACTCGCATCCGACATTAAGATAGCTCAAATTGCGCAGTCTTTTTATAATCGTTTAAATTACAAAATCTTTAAAATAGACAAAAATCACTTTTGACAATTTATTTAAACAATTTCAATTTCTAAACCGTGCTATTACATATGAAACGAAAATCACTACATCTACAAATTATTCTAAAAAGACTATGCAATCGGGTTTGAAATATCTTAAAGTCGGGCGCTGTTTATTATTTTAATTTTTTAATTTTTTAATTTTCTAATTGACTACAAATGATATTATTGTTACAATAAACAACTACAAACGACATACTATCATTTTCCACATTAAAAAATTAAATTTTTGAAAGGCAGATGCTAGATTCACATAGCTGACTGCGCGATATTTCTAAGTTCGAGTAATGCGGGAAGCACTACTTTTGCATAGGTGCATAAGCGTAAACATGAGAATCTTGATTGGTCTATAAACGTATGCATAAGAAATTCAACCAATCGAATTTCTTATGCATATGCTTATGCGCTTATGCAAGAGTGTGTGCTCTCCGCTTAAGCCTTTAAACGGAGATAGATCGATATCGATCTTAAAGCGAACGTACCTTAAATTTCTATAAAACATGTGAATTTTTAAAAATATTTGGGATAATTCTTGTAGTTAAGATTGATTAAAAGGATATTTAAAAATTGTTAGATTTGAATAGTTATTTTTGATTAACTTTTACTGTGACTCGAGCTTTAAATAATATTAAAATTTTTTGAATTTTTAAAAAGACAATAAAATATTAAACTTGACATATATATATATATTATTTATAAAATATATATTTAAAAATATGTTAAGTTTAATATTTTACTGCTTTTTACTTCATAAAATTTCAATAAGTACTATTTAAATTTATTACATATAATATTATATACATGTATTATATATTGTATAATAAATTTATTTTAAAAGAAATAAAAAGATATAATTGCTCGATGTGTGTGTTATGTGTATAATACACAGAATCTATAGCAATATCTTATATCTTTTTATATACGTATAATCGATTTATTGAGCATTATAAACGTAAAGATAATTATTGAAAAAAATATAGTTTAGAGATCATTCAGCTTATATTTATTCGACACAATGTATCTTCTCATATACACGTAAACACACATTAGACACATATAGACGTCAGAATAAACATTAAATAGTTTACAACAAGTTTGTTACTGTTTTCTCTGTCGTGAATACTTTCACTTATTATATATTAATTTCGTACGATCCATCAATAATATATGTATAATATTTCCAGACCATTTTTATTTTGGTATCCTTTTAACTTTTATATATATATATATTTATATATAGAAGTCGTTTGGTTGTAATAGCAGCGTCACATGTCTCTTACACAAGCGTTAACAATTCAAATACAACCTTATACAGCGAAATTCGATGGCGATTTTTCGGAGCCGGCATTATATAGTATTTTAACATGTAAAAATATATAAACAAATATGGTTTTCCCTCCCTCTCATTTTTTGATCGAGCTTCTTCTTTATTTCAAGAAGAAAGTTTAATTATTATACGAGTATCTTTCTTGATTTCAAATCGCACAATCATGTATAATAACTCTTAAATTAACAATAAGAAATACTCTCTACAAGATGAGACTCGTCGTCTAAATCTCTTCTTTTTTTATCTTGATTATTACACAGGCATGAGAAAATCGGACCCATACACCAGCTTGTTAAATATCTACGATATAATGATACGACGTTAAATATAATAGGTACTCTTATAGACTGCGATTTTACGATAAACGCGAGAGGCTGCCGAAACTATAATATATAACGATAAATACATACACAAGCGTCGTCCAATACCTTCCTTAACAAAGAAATTCGAGTTATATAATCGAGATCCAAACCGGCGCGAACCCATCGATTTCGTTATTCATTTATAACAATGTATCATTATCGTCGATTGATATTCGCCAAATGTTTTCGTCGTTTGCCATTCCTAACGAAATAACACAGTTGAAAAATTTGTGTTAAATTTAACAGATATCCCAAACGGTCCATAGAAACTTTTGTGTTAATTTAACATAATATGGATATGTTAAATGACGACACAAATACTGTGTTAATATTTTCACACAAAATAAATGCAAAACTTTAAGTAATTTAAAATCAGTTTTGTGTTAAGTTAACATAGCTAAAAATTAACTAAAAATATGTTAATTTTAGATTTTATCATCCCCACTTATATTATAAAATAAAAAATCAACATTTTTTCCTGTAAATTTTAATAGATAAATTTTGTTACTAATAAAACAGAATTATTTATTGTATAAAGTTAAAAATAGATGCACATTGTGTTATTTTTTTATATCTTTTTTCAGTTGTTTTAATAATTTAATAATTAAGTTTAATTAACACAACAGCAATATATTAAATTAACACATGAATGTGTTAAATATTTAACACAAAAATTTTAACGGCAACCGTTTTTAACAAGAAAACAAATTTTCCTACTGTGAACGATCGATCGGTCCCTTCGAATGTGGGGAAGGTTTTGCACTTTTTTATTGCTTATTGTCTGTTCACAATAGCAGCCGCCAACGAATAGTTTGCTAAAATTCGTCTCTTTTTTTTCTTTTAACACACCCAGTATGGAAGCATCGTTGTAAACGATGGCAATCGAATAACGCACGACGATACTTGCACGTGTCTTTACGCAATTTTACCTTTTTCGTGACCGTCCACGCATACATTGAAAAATTATGTGAATTAAAAGAAATTTATAACAATTTATCGTGTCAAATTCAAAAGCTGCATAATTTTGCATTTTTTAAAAAATGAACATCAGTTTAAGATGATTAAAATTAAAATAAATGAATAAAATTTTTATTCTCATTTCTTTTCAATATATTAATTACAATTTTGTATATCTATGCTCTTCACAAAGTCAAATATAATTTCTCTATATATTTTTATATGTAAAATAAGTTATTAGTATTATAATTAAATATGCAATGCTATGAAATAAAAAGATTTTATTATAGTGTGTATATGTTTACTCATTATTATATAATTATTTTATTATTTAATTAGAGAATATATAGAGAGAACAAATTGATTAATATGGAAATTTATAAAATTAAAAATGCAAGAGAAATAAATCCAATATTTTTTTGAGATCGACTATCTTTCGTAAAATCTATTCACATGGCAGAGTTGATATAGCCATGGCTAGGAATTTTAGCGTGCCTTCCGCAAAGTATTAAGCAAAGTAGCGGTGAATTAATTATGGTCACACGAATCGTTTGTCAGGTAACAATAATTATGTGTGCGACTGGTATCGTATATACGTTATTTTGCATTTGCCGGAAGCACGTGTTGCATGTGACCGAAATCGCAGCCTATCGGCGCGACACGTGCTTTACAGATTTCTTTTTTTTTCCTCTTTACGATTTGCTTCGATTAACACAGTCATGTTGATTGCATCTGCAATTCGTACAATAAGCCTCGGCCGCCGCCGGCCGAGTCGATATGGACTGAGTAGTTTACATGAGAGATTTTTACACAAATAATCGCGTATACTTCCTTCTATGAGAAACAACTCCTATACAACACAGTCTATTTTTTTACGTATAACAATTCGTTCAAGAATGCTGTTTCTTTCTGAATCGTGGAGGTTCTTTGTATTGAGAGAACAATTTTCGTCGTTAATCTCTTCCGTTCGAATTAGAAATCTGTTGCAGTGTTGGAATAATGTAATACCGAAAGTGTTAAAATTTGCGTATTAAAATTATTATCGATAATCGTGAAATTTATTAGCTCAAAAAATTCGTCATACACAAGTTTTTATTTATTTAGTTTTAAATATAATTAATTTGATTATTAAGAAGTTCATTGTTTTTTATGCTAATTTATTTTTTTGTCAAGAATAACATTTATTTAATGTATAATTTATTTTATCAAATTCCAACGCAAGAGATTAAGACCATAATCGTAGTATAGATATAAATATATTTTCCTATGCTCAAGTTTTTTAATATAAAAAAAAAAAAAAGTATATAATTTCGATACTTTTCTAATAAAATTCGATTTTGCATTTTTTAACATTCATTTAAAAAAACACTTGATAATTTTAACGATATATGTGAATAAATAATTTCTACTTATCTATAAGTATGATTATTTAAATAAATATAACCGAGGTATATGTCTCTCCATACAAACATATAGCTACATATATACATGTTTATATATGATATTGCATAGGAAAATAAATCCAAAACGAGGCTAAATCCACCGAAGTTATAGGAAATCGGTGTTGTAACATCCTTTTAAGGTATCTCAGCGGCGACAACGTTAGTTATACTTTTACTATATTTACAGTTAGGGAAAGATTGATCAAATATATTGTGCGATATATAGTGTGATATGCAATATAGTACAATAGTTGAAAATCACGCGATAACCACGAATCACCATAGTAGTAAAGTATACCATCGCTCATCGATATTACTATTAATTATCAAAACAAGAACAATAAAAATAATAACCATGATAAATATACATATATATGGTGCAGAACGAAATATTTATAAATAATACGAACGGAAATAAAAACGGGAATAAAGACGAGAATGCAACTAATTGAAATAAATAAATAAAAAATTGGTTATTTTTCGCGTGGCTCGAAAAATCGCCCGAATTTCAAGATTCGCATACTTTTTTGACTTTTCTTGATTTTCTTGCATTCTCATCTCCTGTCTGTGCTTTGCCACCTTCTTTATATAGATTCTCATAAATATTTTTTTAAGTATACGTATGTCGCGACGAAGCGAGCGTTGACGAAGAATTCGCAAATCGAATTGACTCGCGTTTCGTACCGGGAGTAGGTGAGCAAAAAATTTCTCTTACGCACCTTGTGTAATCGGAATCCGCAATGGAAAGCTGTAGTCAATCCCGGCAATTAATGTTAATTAGTTGCTCTTTCCTCCATCGCTTTTGAACCCCGAGATTCATTAATTCGTTTAGCTATTACGAGCTATATTAAGATTTTTGACGAGATTATCAACAAAATTCCGGAACATGTCACGGCGTTAATGGAGATAAACTCTGTAACTCTCGATTACTTCTACGTCATTCTATATTTTTCTACATATAATATGCTCTCGCAGCGTTTTATATAACACTGTTTAACGCTTCTTTTTTTAGCACTACGCTCACAATTAGAGATGATAATGAGTCCAGGTAATAAGCAAACGCGCTATGATCTAATCACAAATTTCTCTTAATCAGCGATTATATCAAGAATGAATCGCTGTCTTGAGAGATATATCTCATGAATCTAGTAGCTTAGGATCTCAACAAGTATATACTTTCTTTTGTTCACCGTCGTACATAAGATACTTGATCGTACACGAATAATATACGAGATGCCGATAGGTAATAAATACACGACAATTTTTCACAGATTGAACATTTACGTGAAGATACAACCATATGGACACGTATATAGATTTCATATATAGATATATAATATGTTTAATATATGGATAATATACGTTGCTACGCTATTTTCTATATTGCTTCTACGAACGTTCTATTTTTTCACGGGGTTCAATCGACGGATTTTTACCGATTTTTCAATTGTCGAACAAATAAATCGTCACAGCTAGAGTTTCCCGCCGCGAATCCTCATAGAGTTTATCATGTAATTCGCAAATTCTGTCAACGCTTCATACTCGGTCTTTATTCTATATATTCTACTCTATTCTATTCTATAAATTCCACTCTTTTATTCTCTCTCTCTTTCTCTCGTTCTTTCTCTCTCTCTTCTCTCTCTTTCTTTCTCTCTCACTCTCTCTCTCTCTCTCTCTATTTTCAGCATTCTTTATTTTATAAGTTTATAAGTTTAGGTACTATTTTCTATCGCGACAAATCCCGTGGTATTCTCTATATATTCTTTCCGGCATGCGTTGAAAAATTCGTGGGAAAACAGAAGGTAATCTCGAAGAATTTATCGAGAAGCTTCGGGATTTGCGACAAGCTCTCTCACGGCTTATACTTCTTCATTTCGCTTTTATGATAGGATCGACGAGCTTCGGTAAATCGTATGCACCAAGATGTTTCGCATGAAATGTCATATTTTTTCTCTTTTTTTCGTGATAAAAATATGCAGATATACTTGATTTCAAAATACAGCCGCATTGTTCAATGAAGAACACTTCAAAACACCCGACCGTCTCATTTTCGCTGGTTTCCCTGCAGCCATTCAGGGAAACCGAATCGGGCAGTTCTTCCTGATAAGAATAAATTTTGCGTATGATTTATATATCTTGAAGAACCAGCTGGGCAATCGATATACCGATCACGCGATGCCCGATTATCATATTTTTTCTCGTCTCGTTTTACATACAGTTCGATCAATCGTAATATTACTATATTACATATTTCTTGAGTCTGCAACTTTTTCACATAAATCGTACTTTCATTATGTCTTCTCATGCACTTATTTTTACGACGAGCCTTATACCGTATGCATTGAATCTAAGCTTTTACATTTAAGAGTAACTTTTTCATCATGTGTCTTTTTTATTTTATTTTATATGCATATATAGATATCTTGAAAACACATGTTTATCGAATATATAATATCTCTTGCTATCGCACGCTACGGCATAATGAATTTTTTTGCATTTTCGCAATTTTTGCATTATTTTAGCTTTTTAGTCTATTATTATTATATTTGTCATCTGTGTTACATACGATATATAATACGCTTTTGTATACTCGACTAAGTATCGAGATATCGATGATGCAGAATACACAGAAATACATTTTTTTCACAACATTATCCACCATCATTACGGCTATATAGTCTCAGAATTATTCGAGAACGCGAAATCTCCCGTGGGTTCTCGGACGTTTATAGCGCGATCTGTTTGTATATATTATTTTTATAAATACCAAGTGTGGTGTTGTGCGATTTTTTCAAATCTATTTTTTTCGAGTGAGATCGTTCGTTTTTTCCAGAAATGTCGCCTGTTTATTAGGGAAACTCTACTCGATTATAGAAATAATTTTACAGTACGTTTGCCAAATGTTATTCAAGTGCATGTCAACAGTTGTGCTTATTGTCGATGTTTGTAGCTTCTTATCATTTATTGGAACAAGTTTGAATATTTTGAATAAGAAATATGTGATATTCCAAAAGAAGAATAAATTGTTATCTTAGTTAGTCATTAACAATTTTTTGAAGATGTACATATATATAAAAATTAATAATATATATAAATACAGATAATAAGATAATACAAAAGTAATGCTCCTTTTTACTTTTACCGTATTTTAGAAAAAGAAGAAGAGAAAAAATAGCTCGCCAAGAGAATAAAATAATCGGTAGCGTCGAAAACATTTAGAATCACTGTTTTATTGGTCCTCTTCCTCGTTCTGGTAGGTGACATACCGTACAGATGATTTTTCACCAATTATCAACGACTATAATTCGATAAAATTCAAAATTAACGATATAAATTCATCGAAATAATCTGTTTCTTTTTAAAATAATATTACCTCTTTTTCTTCCTTGTTCGGCGGCGCCCTTAGGAAATACATGAGGGGTGCGTAAATAAAATTTAACAAGGCTATACCAAAAAGCATCCATTCGAAACCAATAGTGTTGACCAAAGTTCCGCTTAATGCTGGACCTGCGACACAAAGTAAAAAATATATTTGATTATTTAGTGTCTCATGTCTATTCGATAAACGTGTTTTCAAGATATCTATGTATGCATATAAAATAAAATAAAAAAAGACACATGATGAAAAAGTTACTCTTAATTTTTTCTCGAATTTTTTTTTATATACCATTATATTGTATATGGAATTTCCGAAGGATACTATTGATCCTGTTAATCAAATAGAATCTCAAGGCTTAACAGAAGCATCGGTGGTTCAGTGGTAGAATGCTCGCCTGCCACGCGGGCGGCCCGGGTTCGATTCCCGGCCGATGCATAATTAATATTTTTGTTAATTTTTATATTATTAAAAATATAGGCACATACTGGTACATATTTTTATAGCATTAATGTTGGGATAAGATATATTTTGTTTTTTTAAATAAATGAAAGTGATACGAAAATCGAATACATGTACATACCTATAGCAAAGCCTAGACAAAATGCCACGTCTCCAATAGCGTAAACACTTCCATAAACAGCGGTGTGTCTTATGTCCACCAGGTATCCCAGCTGAGGCATCATCGAGCTGTCCACCATGCCGATTGCGAAGCCCAGACCCGCATTCGGTACGATCAGATGATTGATACTTCTCGCCAATGGAATCTGAAAAATGGAAATTTATTATTCCATACGACATAAGGTCAGTTAATTTTCGATTTATTAATAAATCACGACTCAAATATAGCTGTTATTCGTCGAAATTCTATGATTCATAATCGATAGCGTACGACATAATTATTTGCAGCATTAGATAATTGCAATATAATTTTATGTATATATTAATTATACAATATATATATATATATATATATATATATATATATATATATATTTATACATTTTTGTGATTAATTTTTTAAACAAATTATAGTAATGATATAGTGGTAATTTTTTTCATTTTTCCAAAATAAGAGAGATAGTTTGCAATATAATTATATATAATTATATGATTTATATAATTTTGCAATTAATTGCTTTTACATTAAATAACAGCAATGCTCCAAGTGGTGATTTATTTTATTTTTCCAATAAGATAAGCATAATTTACTTACACACATCAAGCAGATACCAATAACGACTAATCCTATCAGAGAGGCTAACCATCTGTAATAAGTGCATAATATAATAAACACATTTCGAGTCATCGTACAAAAAGATATCTCGCCCGAACAGGGACTCGAACCCTGGACCCTCAGATTAAAAGTCTGATGCTCTACCGACTGAGCTATCCGGGCGATATATCTTCTAGTACGTCTAATGATTTTATTATTATTATGATAGATTTTTAGCATTTAAGAGACACCAAAATTTTTTGTCGACGCAACCTTCATAATGTCGATCAAACTGACCTGCCCATTTTATGTCCAAGGGGGCCGAAAAGATTCGTTCCGATCAAGTAACTAATGCTCGCTGGTAAAAATGTGGCTCCCTGTTTCCAGCGACTCGCGCCCATCGTGTCCATCATCCAGATTGGTAGACTCGGTTCCAACATAGCGATGCCCATATTCGCGAACGTTATTGCGCCTAAAATATCGGCAATCGTATATTTTTTGTTTGAAAAATAAGTCGTATTTTATACTCGAGATGTTTTTTTCCTACCAGCTGCTAAAACGATATAAGGATCGGTAATGAGGGACTTTAACGATGGTGGTTTCGTTTCCGTATACACGACAGATGGTTGAAGCATCAAAAGCTGTAACACTTGAAAGATTTACCAAAAATATTATATCATATATCACATAAACCGTATAATTACATGCGTTAAATTATTTTTCTTTGATAAATGCTCTATATGCTTATCTTATTGGGAAAATATTGAATAAAAATATATATTTATTAAATTTATTATATATATATTTATGCATATAAAATTTAAATTTACTTGTATATATGATTTTGTGTACGTGCGTATAATTTAAAATCAAATCTAATTAATGCAATACGCATAATTTCGTATTGCATAAGTGCGTATATTTATTTACTTACGTCCATCACCAAGAGCTAATGCGGAAAGCACTAAGAAGGGGGCAGATTTCCCTACAAATTCATACATTACTCCGCCAAAAGGGGGTCCTATAAGAACCCCTAGGGCCAATCCCCCTAATGCGATACCCATTGCGTTGCCACGTTCTTTGTCGTCCTGATACCTCTCCGCTAACATACCCATACCTGAGAGAAAGTTGAATATGATATATTACGAACGTGTTATATGTAATCATGTAAAGAGTACGAACAGATCGTAACAGCATCGGTGGTTCAGTGGTAGAATGCTCGCCTGCCACGCGGGCGGCCCGGGTTCGATTCCCGGCCGATGCAATTCTTTTTATCATTTTTTTTGTTAAACAACATAGTATTGTAATTAATGGATCCGCTGCCCGTTGACAGCTTCGATCTTGTCAGATGTCAAAATTTTATCGACTCTTAGATTTAATGAGATTTATATGTCAGAAAAATTATCGACTTTTTTTAAAGTACTTGGTGAAATTTTTGACAAATAGTTGAAGACAAAAATTAGCAAAAATATTAACTATGCATCGGCCGGGAATCGAACCCGGGCCGCCCGCGTGGCAGGCGAGCATTCTACCACTGAACCACCGATGCTCGTGTATAACTACGTGAAATAATTTTAACACACACACACACAAGTAATTTTCAACATTATTTAATAATATTAATATGGGTAGATAGGGATAAATTTTACCAGAAACGCTGGAACATGACGAACCGATACCCTGAAGAGCTCGCGCTAGAAAAAGTATACCGTAGCTTCGTCCAAAAGCAAAAATCAACGTGGATAGAAACATGATAATAAATCCGGTAAACATAGGTATACTATATCCGATTCTGAAAAATAATAAATTTTTATCTCATTAAATGCAACATATTTTATTGCATTTAATATAATACACTCTTGATTATATTAAATTAAACTGAGAAAATTGTTTTTTCTATAAAATTCTATTTTAAATAAAATTATTTGAGTTTGTTTAAAAAGAGATTTAAAAACTGTTTACGAAGCATAGAAAATGCTTTCAATAATAATTATTTCAATTTATAAAAATTACTCTTTGAATTATTACGTATAATTTTGTTTTAAAACTTTATTTGAGATAAATTATCTTTTGCCAATCTAATATATTTCGAGTAAAAAAATCGTGCGAAGATGCGATGCTTACTTGTGAGTTAATGGTCCAACTATGGGATTAGCTAACAATTGAACAAAAGCTTTTGAAGCGAACATCATTCCCACTGCCACGGTCTCTTCTAGTAATTCCCGATGTCTTTGTTCCTTTTCCTTCGTTTCCGCCGATGTAAGATTGGCTACAGTAACTTCTAAAATGAAAAAGATTAGTAAAATGTTCATTTTGTTGAGTACGTCGTAAGATTTTGTAGTTGAAAGTCTGCATTTCCTCCTATCCCTTTCTTCTACCAAATGGTAAAAATGCGATATTATTTTCTATATTTTTTTATTCATTGAATCAATAAATGTAGCCTTAATATAATCTTCTCTAATATATGATTTGTTTTTAAAGCATCCACAATAGAGCAGATTAAAAATAAATTTACGAGTCTATCATTTTAATATAATAAATATAATGTTTTAAATAAAATTTTTCATTGAATTAACATAACGTAAAGCATACTTTACCCGATGCATCCATAGAAGGGGTGGTAAGATGTAGAAACTCCAATTGAGGAAGAACCGATATGTTTGGAGCGCAGGGACATTTTGGCGTTGTTGTTTTTATCGTTGTTGTTGGTGATGCGGTGGTAGAGATTGTAGTTTGACTTCCTTCCAGATGCTCGCTTAATGTTGCGTTAGGATGTTTGATGTCGTAGAGAAATTCCGGTATTATTGGAACTGTAAACATTTTTTAAAAAATAAAATACAAGATAGTTTTCAATATTATATTTAAGCAAAATGATAAGACTACAAAACAAAAAATCAATAAAATATATTTAATTTTTTTCATATGAAAATTTGCCATTAAAATCAAATATTATTCAATTGCATACGAAAATATATTATCCTTTTTCTTTTGTATAATATAGGATTTTGTAAAAAATAAAAATAGGATAGCTCGGCATGCTTCTAAAGCATATTTGAAAGACATTTTATTAACCGGGGGTGTAACTCAGTGGTAGAGTGTCTGCTTCGCATGCTGAAAGTCCTGGGTTCAAATCCCAGCACCTCCAATCCTCTTTTTTTTTATCGCCGACGACACTTTTTCATGAGTTGTATTTTGGTATAATAATTAACATTTTGTAATAATTAGGAAAGAATCGAAAGTTTATAATGCAATGATATGTATATTAAATATCATGTGTGAAAGATAATAAATTTATCAAAATGAGATCGTGAACGGAAACTCTTTGGCATTTATTGTGTTAATGAGCATTTTATGCGATACACATTTCGTTGATAGAATTTATACATACAATGACTGAAAGTGGATCTCGCGATTTGTTCGATAAGTGTGACGACATTCGTGAATATTTGTACGTAACGATCACGAACTATACGCGATGTTGCATAAATGCATGACCACTTATCCGGATTGGTGGCACGATACATGAAAGTCCATACGTTCCACAGACTGGTACGGAATAAACGCGAACGTTTTCTGAATTAAACATAAGATCACGCGACCAAGAAAAGTGGTGACCGTCAATAGGGTTCGAGTGGACTGAAAATAGCGTTAAAAACCGAAAAAGCTGAATCAACCCCGTGATAAAGTGGAAGCATTAAAAATCGCGATAAAAGAAGAGAGTTCTTTCATTTCCTTTCCATTTTTATGAATCAATTGCTCAGCAAACACAAAGTAACAATTACATAACATCAATGTTATAATTTCCCACTCAATAATATAACTGTTACGTACAAGCCATGTTATATTCCGGTTATATTAATGAGTGGAAAATTATAACATCGATGTTATGTAATTGTTACTTTGTGTTTGCTGGGACATACATTTACACGTTTGCTACTACAATATTAACATTTTCATTTATAACATTGATCATTTAAATAAGTCTCTCTTTTACTATTATGATTTAAACTTTTTTAAACATTCTCGTCTATCTTATACACTGGACCACGTGGTCGAGAGAAAGTTGTGAAGTTAATAGGTCTCGGTACTTGACCCACTGGAATTAAATTTATGGCCTAAAGAGGCAGCTTCGAAGCCTAACTAAAGAAGAAGCTGCTAGAAAAAGCGAGAAATCAGCTTATATACATAAATCTGCTGTAATGCAATCGGTAAACTTAAAAAAGAATAATAAAAAGGTTTGTCAACAGAGCTGCTGCTTCCGCATAAATATTCATTCAAATTTCTTTATGAAAGTTTAAATTCTCAAAATAGCGAAAACTGTTTAAAAATTCAACAATAATATTGTATGCTATATATATTAATAATGTATCGAAGATATGAAAAATCGTAATTAATTAATGCCGTGTACTATGTAATAAACAAGGCAACTTACCTACGGTTGTTAGCAACATATTGTCCAACAGCAGAGCGATGGCGACGATGACGAGAACGAGTTTCCGAGATTGTCGGCATCGTTGCAACCAACCGCTCCATTCTTCACCTCCCATTCTCGAATTTTATCCTTCCGTTGATGTTCTACAACATTAATTAGCGGATGATGAGAAATGTTAAATGGGATATATACGTGTAATAAAATTTCGTCAGATCTCTTTAAATTTTCTAACTTCGAATCTATTCTCGGAAGCTATCTATTCTAGAAATCCGAAGCGGGTAAACAGAAATTACGAGAAATCAATGAGAGAGGAAAGTTAGAGAGAGAGAGAGAGAAAGAAAATTTCAGGACTTCTCTCCAAGCGATTCCGACGAAATGTCCTTTCACGAAGATGAACAATCGAATCCCGTATTGCGTTGACACTTTACCGCATACGCTCCCTGAAGGACCTTTCCCCGTTAGGTTTTCGTTAAACCACACTTGTCGATCTTTGCTTGAAGATGTGTATTTTATCGGACGTTTTGCGAACACTAATTTTGTAGCGCAAATAGTAGAGTGTCAAAAGAAATGTTTCTTTAGAAAATTAGTATACTTACTTAATAAATTATTAGGTTGTCGGAGAAGTCATGACGTATTATAATACACAATAATTAATATACATATATGTATATAAGTAAAAAAACCTTTGAAAAACATGAAAAGTAAAAAATGTAGAAAAAATATGTCATGACTTCCGACAACCTAATATTTATATAATTACATATATAAAAATTCTTTTTTTGAAAATGCAATGAATTACATAAGTGTTAAAATCGAAGCATAATACATATTTATTTTATAAAATAATAAAGTTTAGACATATATATATATAGTGACACATATGGTAAAAGAACAAGACATTTCTCTTTCTTCAGTACTATTGCCTAAATCATAAGTAATATTCTGGAATAAAATCGAGTCGCTTCCGTTGAGAGAAATCTTGAACGGGACGGAAATAGTTTGAATGCCGGAAAAGGCGCATCTGCCTTAAGAGAAGATAAAATCGTCTTCGCCCTGAAAATTGTCAATTGTGAAAAGTGGTCAAAATTACGATCTACTTCTTCGCAATTTCCTTTCTTGAATCGTTCGACTCGCTTATCTTTCAGTGTCGGTTTTGGAACGCTCGCGATGGTTTCCGTTCTATATTTTTATAAATTTTTATATAGATAAATTTTATGCGAGAATGTGTGAATAACATTTATTTATTCACATATTATTTAATTATAATATTATTTCGTGAAATAGAGTGTGGACAGATTTTCTAAAAATCTTTGTGTATGAATTAAGGAAAAAAAACGAACAGTATAAAAAATAATTCTTTAATTGCATTCTAAACGAATAACGCATCATTCTAAAAGGAAAGTAATTGCTTTCAAGATTTTCTCACTTTCGCCATTTAATGCTAATTATTTCCTTCCATAATATATGACATTTATTCGACGATTGTGAGAGAACAGCAATCTTAATTGTCAAAGTTTTTCAGAAAGCTCACTTCTGTTTCGTTTCGCTGGAACGACTCGCTATCGACTCGACGTTCGTTTAGCGCAATACAATTAACCGCATTAATTACAGGCTTTTAATAGTACCCTCCACCGTCCTGTCGTTCCGCGCGCGCGCGCGATGCTCGCTCTCTTCTCTCTTTTATTCGTAATAACTCGGTTACCCCACGCTTTTAGCCCACCTAATTTTCACGCTCGGCCGTTGAAAAGGCAAGCATCAAAGGCTATTGCGACTCTCAGCGACTGTCTCGCGCGTTCACGGTACTTTACCTTATTTTTATTAAGAAGAGTTGCGTAAGGCGATTTTAAATGCTATTTTAATGCATTATCTCCAATGGACACGTCTTCTCGATTTAAAAATTAATATACGATTCAAATATATCTCCCTCTCATACACTCCATATTATCGCGTTCCTCAAAGAAAAGCACAGTTGAATTTGTGTTAAATTTAACTCAAACGGTCCACAGAAATTTTTGTGTTAATTTAACATAATATGTTAAATGGAGGCATGAATACTGTGTTAATATTTTAACGCAAACTAAATGCAACAAGCAATTAAAAATAAATTTTGTGTAAAATTACAGTTTTAATGTAAAAATGTATTAAATAGATTTTATCATCCCCATAGTTATATTATAAAATAAAAAATCAACATTTTTTTCCTGTAAATTTTAATAGATGTGTAAAATTAAAAATAGATATATGTACATGGTGTTATTTTTCAGTTGTTTTAATTATTTAACATTTCAGTTTAATTAACACAACAATATATTAATTCATCGTTTCATTCATTGTCGAAGTTTTTAAAAAGAAGTTAAAATTATATATACGACTTTGAGCAAAGTGTATATCTTTAAATTCTTATTAATTTTTAATGTGAGACTCCGTGATGCTGATTGACTTTAATCAGCTGATTTCTGTCGAAAAAAGAAATATTAATAAAGCGTTAATTTGCGAACTGAATTTTAAAATAATAATGTTATGAAAATTAAAATTATAATACATTTTAAATAATATATTATGATACTTTAAACACAATTAATATTTTTGACAGTTATCAGCTGATTTCTGTCAAAAAGTATTAATCGCGGATAAAGTACTATAACATATATTTATAATATATCACACGAATGTGTTAAATATTTAACACAAAAATTTTGACGGGGACCGTTTTTAATAACAATAAAACACAAATTTTCCCCATGTGAATCATCAGGCAAATAAGACCGATGAGCACATTCCCGTGACCGATTTTTACGAGGTATGCGTACGAAAAGGAATCAAGGTGGTTGGTAACGCGAGATAAGGGGGTGTTTAAGGACCGATACCGCAGAAGAAGCCCTATAGAGACGCACGCTCGCACGCATCTGAACAGAATGGTCACCAAGGGGAAGAAGGGAGGCTTATACATCTCCGCTGCTGACGAAGTCGAAGATTGATAGCGTGGAAAGGTAGGGGGAGGATAGGCGGATGGAGAATTGGTACGAGGGGGAAAAGGGAAGCAATCAGCATTTTCCTGAAAGCCAACTCCCCGAGGACCGCGCATTATTCTCGGAAAAGATCACTTCCACTCGTCCTTCTCCACTTATAAGCTCCGCTACCTTCCGCCATATCTCTATCGGACTCTCCCTTCTCCGATTCCTTTTCGTTCCTTTTCCCACCCCCGACCTTCTTCATCCCTCGTTCTCTTATCTTCTCGGTAATTACGACGAAGAATGACCGCAAGAAAGACCGGTCTCCTGTTTGTACCGGAGCTTTCCCGCCAGGGAATGTCGAGCGTATCGCGTATCAACCGGCTATTCCCATCGAGAGCGTTCTGCATCGATCTGCATTTCTGTTCCTTACGGAAATCCTCTTTCTTCGGCGACCGATTTGTCGCCTGTCTCGCTCCTGCTGCGAGATATAAACACTTTGTTCACTGGTATATTAATATTTAAGCACCTAATTTGTATTAATCTGTAATATTATTAATTTAATTATATATCAATTGTTTATAGCACTTGATAAGGGCCGAAACCCATGGCCGAAACGTCGTAAAGTTTAATAAATAGTATTTATAGCCAGATATGGTTGACCAAATTATTACCACTTCTTTCACTGTTTACTATGCGTCGCCGATTAACGAAGGAACCAGGAAGAGGGGTATCTTTTTATTTTGTTAACAAATGATAACTGAAAAAAATTAATTTTAATATAAGTATGTATCTTCACTTTAAAAAATAATAGAAAAAAATTACAGTGATAATTAAGTAATTTTTCCAGTTTCGAACAAGTAATTTTTATGTATATATGAAAAGTATATGGATTTTTGTCCGTGTAAGGAGTGCATTATACATATAATAAATAACGCGATCTAATAAATTCGCTGTCTAATAAACTCGATTATCGTACATCGGAAAATGCGAGAGCTGAGTTTTGTAGGCTCGATATACGAAGCGCTCGCGCGTGTAAAGTTAATAGTACACTGGAGACTCGAGCGGGGTGGGATTGTGGGATTCTGAAGAGGCGAGTTGACGAGCGATACGAGTCATTGAAAGGGTTTGACGGGGGATGACGGTTTTGCGATTGACAGCTTCTCTCGGCAACGGACGCTTGATGAAGTGGTGGCGCGGGGAATCTGCCGATTCATCTCGAGGCTCGTTATGTCGACTCGCATGTGCGTCATTGATACGACGGGGTAACAACACCCAGGTCGACGCGATGTGTTACGTGATTACGCTATACGAGTTCAATTGGTCCAAAGTTTTTCGTCGTTTCAGCTAATAGAAAAGTCGTGTCGGCCGTCAGTGCGTGGAATTTATTGTAAAACGTGACCACTCATCTCTCTCACGTGCGGCTGGCCGTTTTCGCTCGCGATCGCGACGGGATTTTTCATATAATAAAGGAAATAGCTAGTCTCCTGTCGTCGGTCCACAATCGCACGCCTTGGAAGTGAACTTATTTCCGCGCGACTGAAGGGTTAAACGGAGGGATTCAGGAATTTATTTAATCTACCCATTGTTGAGGAATTTTACAGTGTATTTTTTAGTAGAAATTTTGTGTTTAGCGCGTGTATCTGATATATTAATAATAATAACTTGATAGATATATGATGCAAAATATTTAAAAAAAATTTATTTAACTAATCTATATTCGCTCATTTTTTAGTTAATAATTTAGCAGAAGAATATATACACTGCTGTTTGTGAAAATTGCAACACAACTAATATTATATTATTCCTTATTTATGGAGTGCCTTCAGGTATTGCAATTTTCATAAACAGCTGTATGTATATAAATTTTCTACTAAATTATTAATTAATTAACGAATATATATTATATTTGTCGACTTAAAAAAATGCTAGAAACAACCAACTTTTAAAAATATATAAATTGCTTGAAACAAAGATATTAATTATTCTCTCGATATTTAATAATTTCTACATACACAAATATAGTAAAAATTTCTATAATAATAATTTATTTAATATAATATATTTTCGTGCATTGGTTTATTCTGTCATGTTGTAAAGTTATTGTTGCATCTCACTGTGTATTTTCGTAGTTATTATTATATTATTCGAGTCTGATCTTAATTACGGTTATTAGATTGATTCTTATGGAT